GTGATGAGAAAGGCTGATGACCTAAGTGAATTTGATAGAAGGCAGATAATAATGACCCAATGACTCAGAATGAGTATTTCAGAAACTGCACAACTAGTAGGTTATTCACAATCTGCCTTAGTTAGTGTTTATACTGTGTGAATAAGTGATAGTGAAACCAGCAGTAGAGGAAAAGCTGTTTGACATCCACATGTCATCAAAGAAAAACAGTGTCGCAGGACTGTCCCACTTGGTACAACAAAATCAGTGCCAGACAGTGGCTCAGCTGACAGCTCAATACAATGCAGATCTAAGTGCAAGTATATTGGAACATACAATTCAGCGGGAACTATTGGATTTGGGACTGCGCAGCAGATTTCCCATTCGTGTGCCTCTGTTGACCAAGCTTCATTGTCAACTACACCTACACTGGGCCTGGGAACATCAAGACTGGACCATGGATAAGTGGAAGACAGTTGCTTGGTCAGATGAATCATGTCGATGGTCATGTCAGGGTACACTATCGTCCAGGCGAACGATTGCTCACCCTGTACAGCAGGTCTTTCAGGGAAACAATTGCTCTCCCTGTACAAGCTGGTTTGGGGGACATTCTCATGGGTGCTGAAAATGAACCACAAAAGCTGCAGACTATCTGAACATAACTGCGGATCAGTTACACCCTTGCATGGCATTTGTCTTCCCAACTGGAAATGGACAATGCCCTATGTTACAAGGCTCAAATTGAGTTTGAGCAGTTTAAGGAGCATAAGGATGAATTCTAATTAATATTCTGGTCATCTAACTCCCCAGATCACATTTGGGATGTCATGAAGCAGCAGCTGAAAGTTCAAACACCACCATGTTCAAATATCTCGACTTTGTGTGACCGCTGCTTAGACATAACCTGTCTCCAGTCATCTACGAAGAACTTTAAGTATCCATGTCAAGGCGAGTTGCAGCTGCTTTTCAGGCCAAAGGTCACACAATGCATTATGAGTAGTTAGAAATAATGTTTTTTCTCTTCAGTGTATATGTATATTTGTTACTGTCCACCAACTTTTAGAACAACATCCTTGATATCAATTTAATCACTTCCTTAAACCTCTCCAGCTACTGCTGTAGAGTGGTTTTTCATTTCTCCTTCCTGATAACACACCATTTTAGGAAAAATTGGCCAAATTATAATTTCTTCTCTTAAAGAGCAAACTTTAAATTTTGTTCAAGAAGTGGTAAAATAGAAAGGAAAATTAAAGTGAAAACAATTTAAACAGTATGTGATAGTCTAATGAATTCTATTCTATAAAATCAGTTTAATTTTTACAGATGAGACAAATAAATCTTACATTGAATTATAAAAGATTCATTCACTGAAAAAATTATAATATTACTAAGAAAACCATACAGAAAATAAAATACAGACAGTGTTTGCACATTTTTAGAAGGATTTCAATAAATAAATTAAGCAAAAAATGCTCTGGAATAAAAAGTTCTATCAACAGCTTATTATTTGAAACAGAAATACTCTCTCCTACTTTAAAACTCTTAAACTACTTAAAATTCATTTTATTTCAAAATGTTGCATGCAAGTTCGAAATAAGGAACTGGAAAGGGAAAAAACATCAAACATTATTTTTACATGGAAAGAAGACTCCAAATGAATACCCCCCCCAAAAAAAAAGTTACATCCTGTTTCCAAGTTAAACTGTGGGTAACAAGACAAAATCCATCGATGCAAAATCTTGAAATACATCTACAGCAACAGTGAATATGAAAACTATTTAGCAGGAGATAAATGGAAATATATTGTGACCTTTGATGAAGTTAAGTATTTACCTAAATAACTGTAATAACAACAAAAAGGACTATTTATTATTGAAAACAAAGAGAAAACAGTGCACAAAACTGGTTTTGGCAAAGTTTCAGTAAAGGTTTATGACTGCCGCATGTTCTTATGCATTGGGAAATTAAGAAGAGAGGACAAAAATTTTGACAACTCAGCGTATTATCAAGAGAAAGTTTTATGTCCGATGTTTACAGAAGAAATTCCATTTCTCTGTCCCAAAGATTAATAATATTCCTGTTCCACACTTAAAAATTTGGAAATAAAGAAATAAATTGTTACACTTCTAATTTCGTTAACTAAACCTCTTCTGAAATTCTTACAATTATTTCAGATGAAAACTGGAAAGTCACTTTAATTTTGCACTTTTTAATAATTGCATACAATATAAGGACTCTATCTTCCAATAAATAAACTGGATACCTATGGGACTTCTGTGTGCAATCTTTACCTTTTCTCCAAAGAAGATAACTGTCCAAAATCTAATAAACAAAGCTATAAAATTTACTTTAATAATATTTTTAGATATACTCATGATATCACTACAGTTAATAACTCTGGGAAAACCAAAGAACATCATATTTACCCAAATAATTTAATCCTTAATAAAACGGACACAACTCAAAGAGAAATTAACTACTTAGATTTACATATATTTAATTTAAAAAATATTAAACTTTATGATAAGAGACTTCAATTTTAAAACTTTTCAATTAATTCACTAGGAATCAAACATTTCGAAAACAGTTATTAATTACACAATTCTCAATCATATACATAGAATTAAAACCATTTGTATACAAGTTAATTATCTTCAAGAAGTGATTAACCATTTAATTAATTCTTTAGTAGATAATAAAGTTCCAAGATATCACATTAACCTTTCCCCCAAAAAAGCATACATTAACTACCAAATTTAAACTCTGATTTTAAATTACAAAATGATTGAATTATTTTAAACAGCAAGGAGAATAATGCAGGATGATAAATGAAATTGAGAGCATTGTCAATATATAAATACACATGCATATTACATTTTTGTAAAATTTCCATAAATTAATTCTTGTTGTTTCCTGTTAATAACCAAAAGCCAACTATTTTTAAAGAGCCAGTAACAGCAGTGTTTGAGCGAAGACTTTCTACTTTTAAACTTGCTATTATCTTTATTCTTTCCAAGAGTCCCAAATATTTTCCAAAAATAGAAATTAATGATAACAAAGTTATTACAAATACAGAAACAGTTATCAAGAACACCACAGAATTTCATGTACAAATTCATTAGGAACATTTTCTTTTTTCATTAATGGAAAATACGAAAACTACATATTCCATACATAAATATAACATCCAGGAAACAAAATTCATTGCCAAAAATTATCCGATGGTATAGAAGTCAGATTAAAACGGGTGACTCAGTTGTCATGGACAAAGAATAATTGAACAAACAAGTTCCAGGAGTACCTGTAAAGTATAAAATATGTTATTGAAGACAGTGGGAACACCAATGAACTATATAAGACATTCTTGAGAACAGTTGATTATCCTGATATAAAATACCATCTTGGTAACATTAAGACTGATCCAAATCATAGGAACCAAAATTTTTCACACAGCTCAAAACCCATAAACAAGATTATGCAATCACACCATAGTTAAATACTAGATTTTCACCATCAGACAAATTCAAGTAAAAATTCCCAAATTATTCTTCACTTTCATAAAGGCCAATATAACAAGCATGCATTCAAGACATGAATCTTTGTTTGAGTCCCAAATGATTTTGGAGAAATTCTTGATAGAAAAACTGCAATTGTATCCAAATTTATTGCCAACATTTCTAAAGCTGCCTGCAAGTTTACAGTGCTCAAGCACCAACAGGCAAACCTACAAACAGTAAGAAGACCTCTTTAAGATAGAATGATTGTGGAAAATGTTTTTACTATATTGCCCCACAACCTGCTTTTCGGAAGAGGCATATTGATCAAATCTTTAGCTTATGGAAAGATTCGGAAAATGAACTCAAATCACTTTTTCAGCTCAAGATTGTTTTCATTTATCCCCAAAACTTCCCTAGCATACAGTTTATGACTAACAGAGAAGTTATTAATAGCACTCAATTTTCGATCTCATGATCATATGAATTAACTATATTCTTCATATTAAAGCCTACCATAAATAAGTTAGCAACCCAGCAAAAATCCTGTAAAGATTCTTTTGTATTTCATTCTAAAAAAACAGCTGATTTCATTTTTACTTAAGATGAGCCAAATAATTCATTTTTACCTCAAATAAAAATGAATATAAGCACATTCTACAGAGTGCAACAAACAAAAGATACCTTCTGAATTTTTCAGAAAAACTTGTCATGAAAATCAAAAGACAAGACGCTGCAGTCCTGTTTTTGGAAAAAATAAAATTGCTACTGATGTAAAAGCAAATTCACGTGAACATTTCATTACTATTCAGTTAGTCCAGGCATCAGTCAAATAAAAAAAAAAAAAAAAAAAACATACACTTGCTATAACCCCAATCTCAATATTAAAAACAGACAAACTCGAAATAACCACAACAGATTCTTCAAGCAAATATACTAGCTCAATGCGCCATGGAGCTACAAATACAGAAACTGAATTCAGTTCAGCATCTCAAAAAGCATAAAAACAATATTTACAAACTTTCAGCCAAAAGCTTTGGTTGCATATTCCTTTCAGCACTCAATAATTAATTGGGATACAGCCAAAAATATCAACAAACTTAAAATAAGAGAAATGAAAGAAATCACACAACTAGGCTGTGTTGCAATACAAACCTTCATTCAACCTACAATACATTGCTGCAATATTTCTATAATATATAGTCCACAATTTACTCTGAGAAGTATATTATCTCTTCAGAAAGCAATAAAGCAGGGGGAACTTGCTCAAGCCATTCATTCTAGTTCTAGCTGAAAAAGCAGATGGGTCAACTGCGAAAGCTTCCATTTTACTCATTTTTAAACACAGATTTAGGTATGTCAAATCAGAACATTTTATTTCCTTTTTAATTGCATCAAGATCATCAATTTTAAATGTTAACTAAATGTTAATTTGAATGTAGATTGCATTTTAATGATTAAATTGTATCAACCAAGCGAAACTGAAATAAAAAGTGCATTGTGGCATCCTACATAACTAATATTCAGTTATTTTACCAAAACATCTATAACTTTCCACAATTCCTCTTGACGCCTGGACTGCCAGATATCGACTTGAGAATCCCATTCCATTATTTCCTTGTTCAGATTCATTATCTGTGGAAGAATATCTTCCGTTTCTCTCTTTACCTGATTTACTTTTCTGGAAAAAAAAAATTACATAATTAATTAATACAAATAAAAAAATTAAATTTGAAAATCAGTAAAATTTATACTAATAAAATAGTTTTAGGTAATGAAACAATAATTTTATATTTATCATAATAACTCATGCAATTAAACTATTGTTAATGAAATTCCACATCTAATGAACATAGGTTCATTTTCATAATCTTCAGCACTAATGAAAATTAATTATCATAAAATTAGGAAAACATCAAAAATGCTTCCTTTTCAAAGACTTATTAGCAACCAACTAGATAAGAAAACTAAACACTGAAAGCTTTGAATTCCTAGCAGAAGGGATGTGCTAAATACAGTTTTTCTAAAAATCTTTTTCTTGCATGCAGCAGTGTTTTGTTTGCTATAATAAATTACCAGCCTATTAAAATTTCTCTTCCACATAACCATAGAAGTTTAGAGCGGCTGAATATTGGCAGTTTGACCATGATTCAAACCCAGGTGAATGGTTTTCTTTTATGTATAATGAGACAGTTTTCTTAGGCAAGACTGCTACAAAAGTCTCCCACCCCCTTAAGATAGCCCTTGTATATTTTGCTACATTCAAATAACCTAACCTAAACTTCAAAATAACTAAATCTGTGACATATTTAGAATGTAAAACAAATCAATTAAATTCATGCTACAATGTCAGTTAAATTCTGTTTAGTTCTAAGAGCAAGAGGATATAAAAATATCTGAAAAATTTGTATATATTGTTACAAAATGTACAGTCGCGGTGAGATAGCTTCCCCGTAAAGAAGGTTCAGGGTTGCCATAAAATATCAAAAAGGCAGGGTTGCCGCATTTGATGAGAAATCACCCATATGAATTCTTACCGGTTTATCTCAGAATGTTCTCGAACACAAGCCGAAAGCTATATAAACCTGCTGGTCTGCAGTCAATTAGTGTGTGCCTCGTCTAGTGAGCTGATAGTCAGTCATTGAGCGAGTGTCTCGAAATCTAGCTCTGAGTTGGTCGTCGAGTGCATCAAGAGAGTCTTATAGTGTATTGTGAATTAGTGCATCGCGAGTTGTAATGTGGAGATTCTCGAGAGTATGTGGAGTTCCGAGAACGACCAAACGGAGTCGGCAGCTGTACTCTGGTGCTTTGCAGTGAAGCTGTCTCCACCGTTATTGCCTGACAGTGTGAAGGCTGTGTCGCTGAACGTGTCAGCATGTTTATAACAGTTCGGCGACTATAAATGTGATTTTGGAGCTGTCCTGATTAATATTGGCTAAATAAAGTGCATTTCGATACTTCATCAAGTGTTGTCGTTATTCACTCCAAATCCACGCGAACCCTATACGAAAGTGAAGGAAAAAATAACGTAACAACTGGTGTCAGAAAACAAAATGAACAAATATATAAAACAGAATTAAAAAAAAAAAAAGAATGCAAATACTCCATACACTGGGTATAAAGTAATTATTTAGAAAATAGCAGTGACTCTGGCTTCTATGAAAAAGAAGAATATTACTGTACTCCATTAAAAAGTTTAGTATACTTTCTCTTAAAAACAGCCATGATATAGTCTACACCCAGATAAGGTTGGCAAGTTCCTTTTACAGCAGAAAAAAACAGAAGGAAAAAAAGATTTTTTTTTTTGAGGACTGAAGTAGAAGAAATTTATTTCACATTTACATTATTATATTTTATTCATATATAGCAATGTTATATTATTTATTTAAATATTTTTTTTATTATATAATTTAATTAGCCTCATATGTTTGCAATAATCCTATACATATTAACATAATATTTAATAATATAATATTTTTATAAACATTTAATATGAATTTTTTTCTCTTGTATTTGTTGAGACCCGTTTTCACCTCAGTGAATTTAGATAGATTCTGAAACTGAATTTCAGTTCATATCGATAGCATAAATAGCAAAATAACATATTATTCATTTAGAAAGAATGAAATGTACAGATTAAATATTACTCTAATGAACAGTGCAGGCATAATCTAAAATATTACCTTATGTGAAACATAATATCTTGAATTTGTGCGTGTCTTTGCTGTAGGCATAAACACAGTAACCTAACAATATCTGTATTATCATGTGGGACTTGTCTTTGTTCTACAGAAGAAATAAAACAATAATATATAAAAAGCAAAATAAATATCATAAAAAAGTAAACATTTATGTTTTAAGATCTTTTAAACACAAAAGTAACAAAAACAACAATTTGGTAATATTAAATAATAAATCACATCATACATACAGGTACAGGACAAAGCAAGGCCAGCACCTGTGCAGACAAATAAGCATATTAGGTATAAATAGGCTTGCTAACTGCTGGTCTGGGAGGTCTTTCACCACTCTTCCCTATCATTAACTTCTCAGAAGGATTTCAGCTTGCCATGTATTTTGAAAACTCCCTTACTGCACAGACACTATATGCTTGCAAACATCCATGCCTTCTCTGGAATTCAAGGCAATACCCTTCAGTATGGCAGTCAGGGTAATTAACAACTATCCCAAGTGGATGGCAAATCATTCATACAATAATACATAAGACATTCAACACACAATTTATTGCAGAAGCTTCAGTTTCAACATGCTAAAACTACAGTCATAAATTACCTTATGATCTAAATAGAAATCTCATTTATATACTCAATACAAAACATATTTTATGACCTGATTTTGTTAATATCTTGATGACTTATTTGTCAGCTCAAAATGAAATAATGTGCTATATGAAATTAAATGTCATTTGTAACACTGATAATGTTCCTTGGCTCTTGCAGAGACTTAGAATAGTATGGTACACTGTTCTTTCAGATTTCACTAAAAATAAAAATTTATAGGAGCCAGGTAGAAAGGTGATCTCAATCAATATTCAAGGATCCCTACCGTCTTCTGGCACATGGCACACTACCATTTTCTGACTCAGAATCCAATGTAATAGATTGTTATTTATCTTGATATGGTAGACAGGGGTGCTTCTTCAGAAAGCAATGAAGCGTTTGCAGGCCCCCTCTTCAGAATATTCATTGAATGCTAAAACTGTTTCCATAGAAGATGTTTGGCAGACTAAATATTCTTTTTTAAAATATGCTTCTGGGAGTGCAATGTTATTTTTTCTGAATGAGATTTACAGTAGCTTAAATTTCCCCTTTTAAAATTGGCTTCTAACAGTGAAGCATTTTTTCTCTTAGATAAAGCTGATGACAGGCAGAACTTTCCCTTTTACAATATGCTTCTAACAGGTGCAACTAGCAGTTCACATATAAAATTTATAGTAAGTTGAATTTTTCTCCATAAATTTTTTCTAACAATGCAGCTCTTTGTTTCTGAATAGAATGCATGACAGCCTGAATTTTACTATTCTCCATTTCCCATGTATGTCAGCTGTCACATGGTGTTATTACAAGGTCCAATTTGTTCTCTGAGGCTATCTATATGTGCCCCTAACATATCAAAACAAATAATTTCAAAAATAGAATTCAGGAAACTTTGAATCACATATTTGAATTTTGAATTTGTTATATTCTCATAAAACAAAACAAATACCTTATAAGTTATCTATTACTTCCAATGATTTGAATATATTAATAACATATACATAGATGTTCTTACTTGCAACCTTTGATTATTGATATATACTTCAAATTCTAAAAATGTTTCAAATAAAGCAAATGTTCATGTTGCATCATTTTAAAATTCACAACATCAATTTTGTAAAAATTCAAAATCTAACTTTTTATATGCTCCTGTGATTCACACTAGTAAAAGTCTACTCTAATTTTGAAAAATAATAATAATAAAAAATTATATTTCAATATAAGGGATACTGAACATGATATTTAAAGTCTGAGATCATGCTTCCTGAAAATTCAGAGATGACCAATAAAGTATATAAATTGATGAATGAAATACTTAAATTCATATATAACTCAAGATGAAATACCAATTTTTTTTCTCATATTAGATTGCAAGTTTCAATAGTAGCACACAGCCAACTTGTAATACTGTTTGCACAAATGAAATATTATTTTTAGTCCAATGAATTTTTGTTATTATTAGAGTATGGACTTAATGAACTAAATCTACATACAGTCAAAAGTCGTTAATTGGGACACCCATAATCCGGACCTCAAGGCTACAAACTTTCTGCGCATGCGTCAATATGACGCAATGTCTTAGGTCTTACGGGACCTTGACGTTGATGCATGCGTCAACGTCAAGGTCTTACGCGCATGCGTCACTTTCTGCGCATGCGTCAATATGACGCAATGTCTTAGGTCTTACGGGACCTTGACGTTGATGCATGCGTCAACGTCAAGGTCTTACACGCATGCGTCACTTTGACGCATGCGCGTAAGATTTTTATGGGTGTGAATATGCGTGTGTGTATGCCCAAAATACGTTTACGCATGCACGTTTAATGTATAACGGACGGCTAAAATTATCTAATTAAACTAAAATTATCTAATTCAGTTAATGTTGCAGATTGCGATGTTCCTTAATCTTCGAATTGGATCCGGCTTATTATTTTTTGCAGACTGTTAGACCAATTTTATAAAAGTAAGCTTGAACTTTCGATTATGTCAAATAGAATTTCCGATATACATTTACTAATATGTAAAGGATCTACAAAGGGAAAGTATGTTTCGAAGTCCATTAAATAAAAAGTGGAATTGCTGCAAAAAATGGATAAAGTAATATCATTTGTTTATCTAACCATTCCAAAACCTGTTTATCAATTTCACGCTGCTCTGCGGCAAGGGGACGCCGCAGCGCACAATGTATTGGAAGTTGATCTGTCAGCACTATCCTTATCTTCAGGTCAGATATTTTTATTTTATTTGACTTATAATTCTTTTTCTAAATGTAGTATTTCATCTTGATGTATGTCGTCTTTGATATGATTTAAATCAAATTCCTCGTCATTATAATTCGCTTCCGATAGCGAAGAAAGTAAAGTAAACAAATAAAATTAAGCTTTTTTTTTTTTTTTTTTTAAATTTTGATACCCTTTAGATTATAATTGTTCTTTATTTCATAAATAACAGTTTCATATTTTTAATTTTATAATTTCTGCATGCCATCTTACCAGATTTAAACTGATGATCTATAATCTGGAAAAATCGATAATCCGGATAACGACTTTTGACTCTATTAATATTATTAAGGTAATATAGCATTTGAAAATTTATAAATCTGTGTGAAAATGCTTACAGTATAATAAATGTAATAAAATTATAAAGAGAACATTGCTTACCAGTAAAACACTGAAATAATTTGGTCAATGCACATTTGATACATAAATCTTTATTCTGTATAATAGCAGAATTCAAATAATATGCACATCTTTGAACTAAGTTGTTTGGATTAGAGAATTTTACAGATTATGGGTCATGTTTCTCAGGATGTGTGTTTTACAATGCATGTGGATTGTTTGCACAACCATGGCATACTTACACCTAAAGAATTATTTATTCAGGATTTATTAAACATAGAAGTATTACATTTTTTTAACAGAATTTTATACAGAGAAAAATTTAGAGGACAGAAATGGGAATATTATAGAAAGATTTCCTTGTTATTTAACAAGGAAATTTTTCAGGAAATACAGTGCACAGCCATTTTGACAACATTAACCAATTGATAACATTAAATGTTAAGAAAAAAACGTCCTCCAAATCAGCAACAGAATTTAACTAATTTAATATAAGTAGAAACATACATACTTTCCCCTAACATTTTAACTACAAAGAAATCAGCACTGGTGGACTGTCTGCAAACGAGACGCAAAAGTTCATTTACAAAGTGTTACTAATGTTTTTGAAAATTATTTGACCAATGTTGTATCCTTAATACTAATACCTGGAGGGCATTCCTTCTATTAGCATTTTTAGGGAATTCATTAAATGCATCTTTATCTTCTTCACAAAGTTAATTACATGATGTGCTTGAATTGGTTTCAGAAAGCCCCTAGCAAATATCTTCTTTTGTGCAAAGAAGACAGACCTGTGTCCAATCCTTTTCAAAATTAACATAGTTATTAAAAATGCATGCCAAACTAACCAAAAGGTAGCTATTTTTTTGCCTAATTTTAAATGGTTGACTAAAACAAAAACCAAACAGTTTTTTGATAATATGATAGAAAAGAGACATTTTTCATTCATTTGGCATTAAAAAAAAATTATTTTGGCCTTATTTGGGAAAACGAGATCAAGGGCACCTACATCAAGGGCACCTACTGTATATATCTGTCATAGAAATACACTTAAGTTTTATATGGAAAGAAGTTCTGTATACACCAGCAAAATTCGTTTTAAAGAATTTTTATGTTTTTAAGGAAGAGGACAAATAAATAAAAACATTGCTTAAAGAAACCGTAAAAGACAGGTTTTCTCTAAAATGCTACTTCTATAACTAAGTTACACGTAACTGAATCAATAACATGAAATTAACAACTGAAATTTTAGGTTTATCAATAGAAAATTTCTATATTTTTAAGTTTCTCTTTTTTTTTATCATATTTTCTGCTTTTAAAATTAGAAAATGCTCACAAATGTGAATTAGTAATTACAAGTGCTATTTCTAAGAACCTATTCCTATTCACCATTAACAAAATGAAACAAGTTTGCTCATTACATGGAATGTTAACAAAGCAGCTATGGGATGCATTTAAATAGGAACAACATCTGAAAAGTAGTGAATGCAACTCAAACTGCAGTAGTTTTTCCACATTATGTTATCAATATAGTTGAAGTTCCCTATTGATTAAACATATTAATAATTTAAACTACAATAAACCTCTATTTAGTTGCAGCTTGTGAGAATAACTCATATGGGACCCTAAACAGCTGTCTCTGAGAGACCATATAAAAAGTTAGATTTTACAATTTCAATATGCCATAGCATGAATATTTGTAGTATTTAAAATATTTCTTAATTGGAGGTATATATCTAGGACCAATGGTTGCAAAAAATAAACGCCCTGTAAAGATTTTCATGAACACATTGCATACAGGGTGTCCTGGAAAGTGATGAAAAAGAACATTATGTTACATAGCTGGAAAGAATTACTCAAAAAATTACACTTAACTCTAAAATTTTCTTACCTTCATTACATAGAAAATTTAAAGTTTTTACATCTTAAATGACCACAATTTCAGGGATGAATTTCTTGAAAACATCATTAGTGTGAACAGTTCTACGGCCTCATCATTTTTGTAATTCACATAGGCAAATCTGCAGCACTGGCCACATACATTTGATTCAGTCTTTCCTTCCCAAATTCCACCAGGTTATGTTAGGTTATTTGAAATATGGAAAAGCACACCATCTTTCTAAAGGAAGGAATGCTTTTGTGTAAGCTTAACTGGCTCATATAAAGAAACTCATGAACTGAGCATGAACTGGCTCATATAAAGAAACAGGTCAGTCTGGTGGATGTCATATAAAGACATTCACCAGACACTTACATAATAATTACATTACATTTCTGTAACATTATTAGGAACCTTATATTATTTTCTAAATATGTATGCAGATATAGTAAAAGTCCAGAAATCCGCAAACGCTGGGACCAGAGGTTGTGCGGATTTTAGGGTTTTCAGAAAAGATAAATTATAATATTCAGACTAAAAGTGCAAAATAAATAAGGCATACATTTAATTAAATTATTGTATACATTATAACAATAATTTATTATATGCATTAAATTACTATTACATATATAAATTGATTATATTATATTATTCATTTACATAAGCTCCTTTATTTTTAAATCAGCATAAATCTGCTTCCCCTTTTTTTTCTCAGGAGCAGTCTTGAAATTGGTATTCCATCACTCTGCTGCTTCCGGAACCACTCGTACAAGACAACATCGAGGTTTGCCGATTTCGCCTTATGTAAAGATTTTTGGTTTCGGATTCCAGTATTAGAGTCACTGTTGCTGTAAAATTTGAACAATTTTTCTTTATTGTTTCTTATATCATACACAGTCTGTGTCGCAATTCCATACGATTCCGCTATAAACTGAGGAGTAGCACCTGCCTTCAACTTTTGCAGAATTTCCACTTTTTGCATTACCATCAATGTAACGTGTTTACGTTTTTCAACACTGTAAGCAGTAAAATCATGGGTGCGTTTCTTACATGTCATTGTATTAAAAAGTACTGAAATTTAGAAATTAAAAATATTCTTAATATATCCAGATATATATATATAAAAGACAATCTTGACTAACAATCTTGTAAAATAACAAAGTTCAGAAAGTAAAACAACGTGAATCGTGAACTTGAAAGAAGAACTGAGTGAATCGTCTGCTTTTTTATCTTGATGTAGATTGGACGGGGAAAAAACTTTTATCATGATGCCAACAATTTGTTATTTCCTTCATGACTCATTATTATTTGGTAATTATAATGTCATTATCCAGTAAGTATTTTTTCTTCGATATTTCGTACTCCATGTTGCGGTTTATGGAATCTATAAACTGAATGTTTATATTTTGAGACGCAATGCAGATTTCAGGAGTTGGCGGATTTCAGGTCAGCGAATTTTCGGTATTTGATTTTACCAAAATGTTACCATTTACTATTCTGCCACAATTTTGAAAATGTATAAACAGCACTTTGCTATCAGCACATTAAAAAAGTAATATTTTCAATACTAGATAGATATTCAGAAATGACAAATAAATTGGAACAAAACACAACAGGCAGAAAAAACACATTCAATGGAAAAAAGTTGATTATTAAAAAAAGTAACAATACATAAGTTGTTGCTTTGAAACATTTTGTGTCATGCTGACTCCCTTTAATTTCAAATTTTAAAATGCAGATTTATTTACACTGCAATTACTCAAATGCCACAAAAAATTAAATAACATGTTTCCTTCATTTTGTGTCACATCTCTGACCTGAAATACTTCAGTTCAACATGTTTAACTAATCTAAGTTAAAATATAAAAATTTTGGAAATGCAATTTATTAAATTACAATATATAGAAAAATTATAATTACTTTTACATTTACAATACATTTTTTAACAATGCTGTAAATTGATTCTGTAGTGTTATTAAGTAATTAGTTTTCTCATTTGTTTTGAAAATGTTTCAAGCCCCCATTGCTGCAACATATTATTATCCTTACATATCTGACAAACACAAATTGTATACACTTCATAAAATTAAATTACAAGTGCACAAGTACCTTTTGATCTTCTTCTAAGATCAGCAAATGCATCTAGAATTTTCCGATGTCTAAATTAAAATATGATTTTTTAGACAGTATTTACTAATTTTTACAAAATATTATACATATAGTATATATATATATAAATGAATAAATACAAAGTAAAAAAGCAATTCAAAACCTAATTGCATCTCATGAGCAATGAGAGGTGGTAATAATACGTAATAAATTTAAATAAATAAGATGTATCCATCTCATATTCAATTCGGAAGAAGCACAGTGGTAAACTGCATGAAAGGGCCAAAACATGCCAAAAAGAACTTAAAATGTTCACTACACAGGGGTTGGTGCAACGAAAGAAGTAAACAAATCAGCCTGTTTCTCAACTAATAAAGTTTATACAGATCTAACATAACAAAGGAATTATGAAGAACTTTCAGGATTTCTAATTCAGGTAATTTGATGTTTTTTCCTTTCACAAATTGTTCATTTTTAGTACATCATATTTAATAGAAGTTTTTAAAAATTATTTTTATTATTATTAATCAGTTTAATAGAATTTTTTAAAAATTATTTTTTATATTATCAATCAGTTCAAACTTGATGTTCTAATTTTATTACTTATTATATTTTAGGTTTAGCAATAGTACATGTCAAATATATATTTTTTTCATTTAACAACTCTTTTCTATTTCCTAGATAAAATTTTCATTACTTTTTCACATGCTGGATTGCTTCTGTCTTACATGTTTATATTTTTTGCACGCAGTCTCTTTAAATTAAAAATGAAAATTTTTTTAGCTCTTTCATGATTTTGATGCAATAATTAAAACAAGAAAAATTAACCCAGCCTGTATGGTTTAAAAATTTTCATATGTTTTTATTTTTTCATGTATTACATTGTTGCATTCATGTTTTTTTGGGGGGGAGGCACTCAATCTGCTCAAAATAATATTTTAAAGCTTTTTTAGTTTTATTTGATGCTATAATTTTACAACTTCTTACAGTATTTACGTCAGCACAGATTGATTTATTTCCTTCTTTTGAAGCACCAAGCCCTTGATGCTAACAGAGTGAAAGTTATAAATTTATTTTTTCATTTTTGGTTTGGCATGTTTTGTCCCCTTCATGCAGTTTACCATGGTACATCTTTCTGGTTTTTGAATATGATTTATTCTGAATTGAATATGGGATGGATTTTAAATGTATTATTTATTTTAATTTATTTTGCATTTTATATAAATATACATATAGACAAACACATACATGTGTAGGTAACTTCAATATTTATTATACATACGGTATCGCTTCTCGGCTTTTTAGCTAAGATCAAAGTGTAGTATACATACGATTTCCACAACAACAAATTTACCACATAATTTTTTATCATCTTCCTATGATGATTTTTATTATCTTCCTATGATGATTAATTCTATAAAAAGTAAGCAGAATTTTTAAGAACATAAATAAATACCGATACTAAAGATCACCCTCAAAAGACCAAAATAACTTTGAACTGTGGAAGGTCATCTTAAAGAGGATTCACTGTAATTTTATAACCAATTCCACATTATCATATTTAATACCCATTTTATTATCCATTTCTGAAGCTTCAATATGATTTGCAAGAAACCCTCATAAGGCCTCTTTAACTCTTAACAACACTTTGAAGAGTATTACAATAAATTTTATATTCATTGTATTGGTTTCTTTAAGCTTCTTTAAATCTTAATTCCTTCAACATTCAGTATATCTGACATGTAACTTTTCCAAACTCCATGGACAATGTAATTACATATGGTTTCTAGAACAGAAAAGTGAATTTATTATGAAAGAAACAGAAATCAAAAACTCTGATATCAAAGATTATTCTTTTGATGTTGACAAAAATTTGAAGAAACAAAACATATGAAATGTAAACTACCTACCACAAGTAAGGCCAAACTTAACACATGTGTCAATAATAAGTCTCCAGCTTTTGCATAAAATATGGACAGAATTTTCCTTCTATCTGCATCATGCCAACAGAAAGTGACAATGTATTTTTGTACTCAAATATCAAGTAAAGATGAAGTCATCAATATACCTTGTTATTTATTTGTAGTGTTTTTATATTTTTTATGGATAAAATGGTCATTTATAGTTATAAATGTGCATTTCAGAGACAAATACATGTTTTGAAGAAAATAATAGAACCATGACTATTATGCTAAGTAATTCATCATATAAAAATAATAATGTACTATGAAACCAAAAATTGAAAAAAAAAAAAAAAATTCCTGATTGTAAGTTACCCTTAATATGTTTTAAGGAGTCGCGCATTATTCACGTACTGTGGTAGACATAACAATACTAATCAATTTCTTTTCCTCCTTTCTTTTCTTTCTTTTGTGATCCCTCTATCAAATTTTACACTTTATTTTCAGGATAAGCTACTTTTGTTATCAGATTAGACAGGGTGAATCATTGGACATAAGTGTACCAACCATTTTCACTCCTTACAAATTTGATTGTACATTTTAAGTTTACTAACTTTTAGAATATAATCTGTAAAATTACTGAATCTACAGATTATATTACTGACCTTTCCAACATAAGCATATTAATATGATACATAGCTAATTCTACACACAATTCATGGCAATATGTGCCATGACCTTCATAAAATTAAAAACTGTATGAAAGTGATTAAGAATAAATCTTGATCAGTTGCTGCCAACAGCGACTGCATGAATTGCACAATTTCTGTTATGGACATTAAAAGTAAAACATTTCTTGGACAAATGGGTACTTATGTATAATTAGCTGATATATTTTCATTTCCTTTGACATAGTGACCAAGTGGATACTAATGGTAAATGGCCTGGTTGCACACTGCTTTCATGATTTTCCCATGTGTAATTTGAATACTGGCCAGCTTCTCTTAGAGGATTTTCTTTTCCTCCAACTCAAGTATTTGTTTTAAATAATTTGTTCCAATTTATTAAAAAATTATTTACAGAAAACTCTTTCTTATAAAATTTAATTGATGCACTACCTCACAGCAATAATAAATAAATCTGATGCCTGTGGTATATGTGAAACAATTTCATTGAAACCCATTTCCAACATGAATTCTTTTAGTTTATCAACACTTCGCGGTGTCACAACAGAATGCATTTTAATTGGAAAAGATACTTGCTGAAATAAAATTTTAAATTAGGCAAAAAAGCAATATTAGACTAGCATATAATTTGAATAAATTTATTTTTAGATAATCCGAAAAGATAAAAGAGCAAACAAACTAAATACATGCAGAAAATCAATGGGTGGAAAAAAATAACACTGTTCGCTGAGCAAAATAGTAATGAAATGTAATTTAACTGAAGCAACAGTAATGAACAGTAATGAATGAGCTAAGATATTCGAATTTTAAAACCTTTGGAAAGACCTGTATTGATATATATGCCATTAACTAAAGAAGGCACATTTTTATAAACTTGAAAGACTTCAAGGAAATTTAATTCACCACTTGAAAGAAACATTGAAGATAAATTTTTGAAGAATCAAAATTAAAACTGTTATTAACTGACCAACAAAAATTAAAATTCAAAGATTTGTTTCTCTTTTTCAAGCACTTCTATTGGGTTCCTTGATGTGAAATTTTAATGCTCTTTTATTCCATTCAATATATGCCACACCATATTGAAAAAAATGCTGTACTCTCCAAGAATTAAAATCAAAGATATAATATTAATGAACCTAATATATATATATTACAGTGTGTTTAAAAAAGAATATATGTATTTTGAAGGACTACCTTGGAAAGCAGTTCGAATTCGTGCAACATTTTTGTCCGGAACACGAAGGCGGCCAGGACTCTTTCCTTTACATACACATCCTGTACTTACAAACTGTCAATAGCATTTGCGAATATTCCACTCCATCGGAGGATCACTTTGGTACCTCAACTTGAAATGTCTTTGCATTGTAATCCCGAAATTGCACTTCGCAAACTCGAGAACACAAAATTATTTATGCTGAGGAGTAGCCATTTTAAACATGTGACGGTTACTACGCAAAACAGAAGACAACTGACATCTAGCGGTTATTAATATAAACTAGACTATATATTCGTTCCGCCAACAGCCGAGCCGAGGTCTAGTGATCGATAGTTTGGACAAAATAACACTTTGTAATACATATATTCTTTTTGAAACACTCTGTGAGAAAATGACCTAAAAGTAAAACTTGTGGATAATCTGAGAACTTACATTCAATAAAATGTGATTGTAATAAGGTTATACAGAACATGCATGGTCTACACAGAGTTTTAAAATAAAAATAATAAAAAAAAAAAAAAAAAAAAAAACTGCCATATGGAATGCTGCCAAATACTTTTGTGCTGGAATCTCAAAATTTGGCTAAGATATCAGTTAATACACATGTACTTATGAGTTTAGGCTGGATAATATGACTAATTTAACATATCATGATAATTTATCAAGCATATAACTTTCTGTAAGTGAATTTTATATTATAATTAGCTTACAGAAAATTTATTACAACATAAACTGTAATTTGCTTGGGCAATTAAGCTATTCTCAGAATCAAAGCATACATATATAACAAATCTCTATTGATTACTTTTTTTAGGGTTGGAATTTTACAAATACTTAGATAAAGTAAATAAACAATGATTAAATTGAAAATACTGAATTCAGATATTAATGAAATATATATTTAATATATCTCCAAAAAATAAAGACTCTACAAAATGCCCTGAACTTACGTGTCTTCAAGAGGACTATTATATTTGGATCGAACATACACAGATCTTTGCAAATCTATCGTGCAACTGCTGATCCTTGCAGATGATTCTTCAAGTAAAGAAATTTTCTGTTTCTGAAATGACACAAATACACACATATGAAATAGACAACCTAATTTTTATGTTTCTTATGATTATTTTTATGTTTTATGTTTAAAAAAAAGTACACAATAATTAAATCCAATAGTTAAATTAAAATAAAGTACTAAACAACCTAAATACAATAAACAATATATAGGTGTATATATATACAGTACAAAGTCCGAAATCCAGATTCGTCGGGACTTCGGCGATTCTGGAATTGGGATTTTTCCAGATATTAGATCATCAGTTTAAATCTAGTAAGTGTGTGTGTGTGTGTGATCATGGCAAAGCCTCGAGGGCTATTTGCCTAAGGGGAAGGATGCCTTCGTAGAGGAATTTCTAAGGGAAACTGGCTCGTATACACGTTACACATGGGGAAAACCACGAAAACGCCCATGCAGCCAGCCCGTTCGCGGGATTCGAACCTCGGACCGAACTACCAGTGTTCAGCGACTTCACCGCTATACCGCTGGAAGGCTTAAATCTAGTAACATAGCATGCAGAAGTTATAAAATTAAACATATGAAATTGTGATTTATGAAATAATGAAGTATTTATGATCTAAAGGGTATCAAAATTTACAAAAAAAAAAAAAAAAAAAGGCTTGGTATTTATTTGTTTACTTTATTAAATGTCTTTCAATATAAGTTGTTTAAGTTGCTTCATTTTTTGTGCTAATACTTTCTCCTTAATTCTGTAGACAGACATAATCTCTTGTTCAGTTACATTATTGCAACTGCTATGTCGAGAATTCCGACTAACTTCTCAATCGAAATTTTTTTGTTTTCAGTAACTTCTCTGTCACTTTCTTTACTATCGTTATTTTCTGGATCTAGAACCATACTACAGATTTCGCCATTCGCTAATTGATTGATGATTGAGAAGCAATGTCATCACAATGAAAAACTTCTTTTATATCATCTTCAATTATTACTGCTTCTCCACATTTCTTTATAAAATCCGTTAATTGGAAAATTTCACCCTTGTTTTGCGATATCCGAAAACCTTTAAAATTCACGGGTACCATCATCAAATTTAGCTGTCATTCATTATACATATTTGGCTACGCATCATGAGCTTGGGGACTAACGACAAGTTGTTCCGTTAAATTTTATCTTGCTTCTATCATGCACCGAGACAATTAAGCTTGAACTAAATTAGTTTAGTTATTTATTATACTTATGTCTATTTCTTGCACATGCTTAAGGCTTATCAGAGTTCTGAATAAATAAATTCGAACATATGCTTAAGCCATATTGAGGGCCGGCGCTAGATATCTTACCGTCTGATGCAGTCTCTGTGGGTCCTAAATTCTGTGACCTAGTGCCACCTTACGAGCCTTGGCGCTGGTTCTGGGTTTATATGAATAACAAATTAGTTATTAATTCAAATAGCCTTAAATGCAATGTTTTGGTCTATGAATATCATCAACAAAATCTATTTTTAGCATATCGAAAGAAATTTTTGTTAAATTTTTCCCCACCAACATATTTAGCGCAAATCTGTAATCATCGCCAAGCATAATGTCAACATAAAAGGTTACCATGCTCTGTTGTTATTCAATTACTAACACAAAAAAATTGTTTAGGAATCACTACATGAGTCATTATTCAAGTTGTCATGTGTTGATAAACATGCAGTGATGAAAGGAAAGTATAATAAATAATGATTCGTCAGGTTGGCATCAGATCACCAATATATCTATGTGGAGCTTTTTGGTTTGAGATGTGTGGCCAAGTAGATACACAGCAACAGAGCCAAATTACTGATCATACAAATTTACGCTAAAATGATTGTTTCTTGTATAACAAGGTATTTTATTTAGTGTCGAAGTGAAATTAAGAATCGGGACTCTCCAGATGTTTTATTATGTGTGGAGGGGGGGGGAATTAAATAGCATGCATAAAGGCTATGCAAAAAGCGTTATTGGTGGTTTTGAGGTCCCGATTTTAGATCATTCTGGATAATGGACATCAGGATTTCGGACTTTGTACTGCATATATAAAAACTGTATGTAAGTATGATATGCGAGTATTAAATAACACACAAAAAATTATAAAATTCACAGTCCGGAAAATTAATATTCCAGAATTATAATATAAATAAAAAAATAATATTACACCATAATTCCTGGCAGACTGATAACAGATGCTCTCTGGCAAAATCAGTTTCAGTCAATTAATAATTATTAAACAAACTAACAGCATTCCTTAATTAAATTAACATTTTCCTTGCTCTTCTGTCTTTCATTTACCTTTATATCTATCATGCTTGGAAAGCAAGTACAATTTTTATGTTTGAAACTATAGTTATCGCTCTAATCCCTACAACTCCCTACATTTGTTACTGTTTACAAATGTAAATTCTGATAAACATTTTAGCCAGCTTGATTTACTAATGTTTTATTTCTCTCTTTAAAATAATAGTCAAGTGGTGTGCAGAGTCAACCAGAGAAATAACCAGGATGAAAGCTAAGACTTTAAAATCTAATGAAACACTTGATATACTTAAATGTTTCATTAGACTTTATAAGGTATTTCTCCCACCTTTTTAATGAGCCTTCATGATGTAGTAGTATGTAATACAGAGGTCCGCGGTTCGATTTCCGGCAAAGGTGTTGCATATTTTTCATCTTGCCTGCTTCCAAAAAATACCTAATGTCTCTACAACTTTACACCTTGGAAAAGTAGACAAGTAATCTATAAATAAACTACTTCTCTATTTTTCTAATTTTCCAATTAAATCTTTACAGTGGGTGCACATTTTTTTTTTTTTTCCAGTATTCTATATAATATTCTGGGAAAACGCAGATTTATTACACTGCACAAACTCTGTCAAGTTTATGGCTCAGTATGGTTAAAATTATAAAATATCTAATTTAATAACAAAAGTTTATATCTTTTGATGATTTGATGAGAATTGATACTTTGATTAGAAAAATGAGAAAGATAGCAAGAACCCTAACATTAATGATAATTTTAAAAGGGAGGGAAGCAGCAAATATTCAACAATTTATAATGCACTGAGAATTTCAATGCTCTATTAAAAGCACTCTAAAGTCAAGCAAAATAAATAATTCCACAAAGTTAAGAATATCGGGAAGTAAATATTTTAATTCCATCCTCTCCTTTCATTATTTTCATTCAAAGATGAAACAAAATGAAAGTATCCTTTCTCAAGATCTAAACTTCCAGTAAGGAAAAAAGGCTTATAAATATTCCTGAAAAAGGCTAATGAAATTAAGTTTAAAACAAATTATATTTTACGTGTGCTCCAATATAAATACTTCGAAGTTAGAATGAAATACCTGATCAAACCTCATAGTTCTTTGCACTAAGTCTATACTGAAAAGAATATATAGAAATATTAATTGTTTTATGCAATACTAAATTCTATTAGGTCTGAAAAGATTAATATAAATTTTTGATATTTGTAATTCAATTCAGAAAATAATAATTGTGCTACCATAAAATTATGCAATTTTAAAATTCCAGATATCACAAAATACTATATTAAAATTCAATAGATTAAGTATTCTTCATAATGTCATTCATTATCTGCTAATAATATTTTAATAGATGACTAATTTTTTAATATCAGCATATGTTAGTGCTTAGTCAGTTACATTTATATCATTGTGTCCCTAGTCACGCATAGCAGATTTATGATTACGCATAGCTGCCAACTTTGAAATATAATAAACTGGAAGGTTCTTGCAAAACAAAATATGAGTTTTGGGGAGCTTTTTGAGCTGCATGTTTTTATGAAATAACAACATTTCAAAAGAACTCTAAATTGACTTGAATGCACTATATAATGCATGATTCAAGTTACTAAACTATTTGATTGCACTATATAATGATTCTGGTGTAAATTCTATTAATATTAAATTATATATTCTAAATTTTATGTTCTTTGATTAATTTCATTTAATAATTTTCTTACATTTTTATAACAAAAGAATTCTGGGTAGGGTGATTAAGTGATTTACCAAGAAATGTGATGAAAAACCAGGAGAGATAGTAACTATGGTTAACACAAAGCTAACCTGATAACCCTAAAAAAGTTGGAGATATGATAAGTATTATTGTTGTATCAGTGCATTTCTTCATGAAAGTTACAGCAACTGCATTTAGATATTACACTCACTTTCAATCTGCTTCATCTTCTTATAATTTTTTAATAAGAAATGTGGGTGGAAATAAAATGAATATGACAACATCTTTATCAATTTGTTTCACCAGTTCCCAGGAAAAAGTAAAATAAGATAGATATTTGTTAGCAATAAAGTTGGTCAAATGTGTTTGAATTTTTTTCTGAATAAATAAAGAAGTATTTTGCAATGAATTAGAAACTCGTATTGAAATAAGTCAATTGATATACAATATAAGTTTATTGGTGGACCCATCTTGAGTAAAAATATGAATTAATAAAGAAATTGCATAAATAGAACAGATATATACAAATTGCTCTCATATATAATAGTAAGTTTTCTGGTGGCAAACCTTTTTATTAAAACATATTTATGTTTAGTAATGGTGAATGTAGCATTCCCAGTGTACAATGAGTATAAGCTCTATTCTGATTAACAGCTTTTACAAATTGTCGGCGCTAGAGTTGCTACTTTTAATGAAACAATTTAGGGTTTTTTTTTTTTTTTTTTTTTTTTTTTTTTTTTAAAGCAAGCAATTTTTTAAAACATCTCAAAAGTAAAAGACAAAAAATCTACTGACTCAAAATCCACACAACCTCTTAAACTCTCTTAACAGTGAAATGTTAATGGTTTTGGTGATTTTTTGGGACATTTGGAAATTATTTGGAACCAATATTCTTAATTCAGTATTAAAATTATAATATTTTATTGCTTACCACTTTTATCACTGTCGCTAAATAAAAATTTAGCCTAAAGCCACTTAACTTGCATTTATAAAATAATTTAATATAAATCTAAGCATATGTTGTTTTAACTGACTAAGAATGCAGTAATTGGTACTTTGGTCATTTTTATTTATATGAAAGCAGCAAAAATATATGCAAGCACAACAAAAATAGCCAACTCATACCAAAAACTGAACTAAACATTGCCACTTGATATATGCTGATCCAGAGACATTTTTTATATGAGATTTTTGACAAATCAAGGTGGATTTTCCAGTTTGGAAATCACTAAATGATGAGGAAACAGCCATTGAATTCTTTCAAGAAAAGAATTCAGAAAAAGACTTTGTTTAAATAACCATAATTATATTTTCATGCAGCAATGCATTTTGAATGTATCATCATTTAATCAATATTGCTGTAAGGGATGCATTTCATGTAAATATTAGTGTTCAATGACAACTGCTGTCCTTTTATTGGAAAAGTACCAGAATTTTTAATTTTTATTACAACTAGAACTAAAAATAGCATTTTCTTGACCTAACAAAATAATGAACCAATTCACAACTTTCCTGTGGCTAATTGCAGTAAAACAAATTTAGAACAATAGAACTATACAACTATTCAGATGCAATGATTCTGCATAATTTGAAGAGAGGGAGGCACAAACTAAAACATCCTCAACTTTTTAAATTACAATAGAATGTTTGAAAAACATAAAAAATTGTCTTCAGACTCTGCTTGTCTTTATTTTATTATAATTTTTGAGCTTTATTTAGTGTTCTAACAATATTTACCTGCAACTTGCATACACCGTCATTCTTTTAACCGCTAAAGTATATATAAACACATTGTACAGAAATGGGCTTAGAAACTATTTTACTTTTTTGAAATATACATTTTATTAAGTTATATCTTACTTCAAATTACTTCAGCCACATAAGTTTTTCTTTTACTGTGTGTCTTGTTGGTATTCTAAAAAAAAAATCTTGAAATTTTTCTTTTGGTTTATTAAATGAAATAAGCTTTCCTTTGTAAATGATGAAGCTAAAATAAAACTTCTAGATGGGGATTTTGATAAATGATTGCATATTGTTTAATCAATAAAGTAAATATCTTTCTAAGTAATTTTATAAAATTTTATCATGCGAAAAAGGGTTTTGTTTTTATGTTCACTTTAACATCATTTAAAATTTTTTCAATAATATATTTTATATGCATTTCTTTACAAAAAATACCAAAAAGAAATCAATTGCTGTTATGTACAATTTTACTCCTATTTTTCTTCCCTTATTTTTTTCTCCCCCCCCAATATAATTTTACACTCCCTCCCATTTATGATTTGAAATTTTGAAGTTTTAAAATCTACACAATCTCATGTTACAAGCTGCAGATTTTCCAGTCTTCTTACTATTCTTTTACTTTTGCAAAAACAGCAGAAAAATAATTCAGACTTTCACGAGTAACTTTGCGTAAGAAATGAAAAACAGAAAAGCTCAATTTCTCTAAATCATCTCTGGATAATTACTGTTATTTTACACAGTTTACAACACAATATAAATATTTCTCTAACTTTTTTAAAAATTTATTAATTTAATATTTTAATCTTATTTTAATATTTTTTGTACTAGAATACATAAAGCATATTAAAATATATCCATTACATTTATTCATATAACATATTATATACTATTCATATTACAAAATATATATAAAAAATTAGTTGACTAAAAACTCACCAATAGTTCAATATTCTTAAGATTTTCAAAACTATTTTTCCAACTCTCAACCATTTTTGAAGAACCTATGAAAATTTAACTTTTTTCATTAAACAATTGAAAATGAACCTTTATTGAGAAAATACAATTTATGAATGCAAAGCATAAAACTAATTTAGAATAAAAGTATGGAAAAATAACATAAAATGCACTAAGGGCTGTACCATCATAAGAACTCGGAACTACATATAATCATAATCTGATTAGTTGCAACTGCACGAAATAAGAAGAAAATTTTGAGCAAGTCTTATTTAAGCTAATAAGACTTTCAGAAACTTTGAAATTTTGAAAAAAAAATTAAGAATCATGAAAATATTCATACAAGTACATATTACCAGAGAAAAATGAAAATTATTATATGCATTAATGATTACAATTATTCCAATATATAAGTATAACCAAAATCAAAATTTTTAATCCCTCTTTATATTAAGAAAATGTTAGGAATGCTGGTACAAAACCCTGTGTTCAGACTAAGAATTAAACAGCAGAAGTCCATTTGAAAGTGATAATAAACAGTAATAAAATATTTTCTTCTCATTGATAATATTTTCTTTCATCATTAGTAATACTGCTTGAAAAATTAATGCAAATAATGTAACAAAAGCAATGCTTTAAAGCACTATCTTTTAATTTTGCAAAGGCACAGTGAAACTATCATAAGATTACCACTTACAATTCCAGAACTTTTGGGTTTCTGTGAAGGTGATTACCCTACAGAAGCTTATTAATGCTGCTGAGTACCATCATTTAATTACCTGTCATAAGAGGTTTCGCTGTATATAAAAATTTTCAGACATAGAATAAATATATAGAATGCCAAACAGATGAATAAAAATGTAAATACAGACTGCTAAATATAGTTCTAAAATAAATTATAACATTTTATAAAGCATATTTCTAAATATTTCCAACAGCAGCAATGTATGTACTTGCAGGGACATTAAAATGATTCAGGAAATCAGAAAAGTATAATTTACTTCAAATTTTAGGTTTTAAAATAGAACGTTAACCACTTGCATTACGACTAAACTTCACGGTTGAAGTGCCATATGCTACAATATAACAAGCGGTAAAGCGTCTCATTTACACTGTTCCGCGTCTGCGAGTTCAATCCAGAGCTGTAACTTGAGAAATAAACAATCTCGTTGTTAGGCAACAAAAGTGCACCACGTTATTTTCATTTTTGCGATAAATGCCTATCGACGTGGTGTTCACGTCGCTCGCGGTTTGAGACAAAAGCATCTCGACGTGCATGGCATGTCTTTTTAGTGCAAGTGTTTAAGGCCACTAAACCTATGATTTGGGGATAATATCGATCTTTGCCTTTTAAAAAGAAATACAAAGAAAACAATTTTAGTGTCAGATACTTCAGAAAAGTGTAATTTATGAAATATTTCAAATAAAACTAATTTTGATACATGTCATGGGGACAAATATTCAGCTTGATTTATCAGATTTTACTGTAAGCATAAAATATTTTATTCATCAGAAGTTTATTTTTTCACTGATATTTGTAAAACTAAAAATTGATGTTGTTTGAATCATATACAAGGAATGTTTTGTGAACGGATTAAATCTTATATTTGATTCATATTTGAACATTCTTCTCATATTTGAACTTGGTTCTACAATCTTAGAGAATTAATTTCTTAAAAAAATCAAGTTCCAATCTCAGACATGCACACTTACTTAGAAATGCAATATCTGAATATGCATTTGGCTGTGAACTGGCAATTCCTTCTTCAAAACCATGAAATCTGCAATTATTCTATATTTCACTTTATACTTTTTCAACATTAGAAATTTGAGGAAATGTCACTGTCCTTCCTTTAATAACAAATTATTCTACTCTTTAGATAGAGAAACTGCATTGTTTGTTCCTTAAAATGTATTTTAGCTTTTTCACTTAAAATCACTCTTGGGTATTAGTAATAAGCTTATTACTAATTATTAATTAGATTATTATATTAGGTATACCCTGTAATAGATTTCCATGATTAAATAATAATACACAATAATTTCCATGATTAAAATCTGGCATTCTTAATTTAAGATGCAACAGATTTGTTTTCTTTGCATCTGTGGTGATAACTACCCAGTTTTTACTATTATTTAATGAATGTATATTTGAATTTTTAAGTGGAGGGAGGAGGACAAGTAACATAAAATTTATTTCTTTTCACGTGTGCATACCTGCTGACCTTACACTACTTTATGTACTTCTGATTTTGTTTTCTAAGTTTGAAGATTCAGTTAATAAGGAAAAAGCTAAAGAAAATTATACCTACTGAAACCACCAGTTGCAACTTGCTTCTCATAATTTTGGATATCTTGTTCAAGACTAAAATAAAAGTACAGTGTTTAATACAAATGACTGATTAAAAAAAAATTGTCTGTATAATAGCACTTCACTTACCTTTTCTGAAAAAAAGAGCATTTGGATAAAAGCTTATTCATTTCAGCGGTCATTCGAGAAGTATTTTTATGAGTATAGGAAGTTTTAGTTAGTAAATGCATCCTAAAATTTAAAAACATACACAGATAAACATTAGTGATATGATATACCACTTTTTTCTTGGTTAAATAATGCAGAAAAAAATAGATTACAATCACAAGCTTATTAATTATATTTTTAGTCAATCATTCTAGTTAAAATGCAGAAAAAGAAGTTAATTCCAGAGATAAATTATACTACAATTTTATAAGATATACATTATTTATACGATAATTTTCAGCTTACGTTTTATTTCCTTTCTTAATAAGTGACAAAGTTATTTCTAAATCCTTTAATATATTTCAGAAAAGTATAATTTTAGAAGCGTATTACTTTTGTAATATAAAATTATTTATAGCAATGCATTTGTTTACAAAAGGAGTAACCATAGATGCAAAAATTTCCAATACAACAGCAGCTCAAGGGATAGTAAGATAATTATTACTACCAATTATAATCAAGGAACAAATACTTATTTATACTACTGTCACAATCTTTACACAATTGCACATCCCCCTATCTTTTTTGATTAGGGGATCTTCTTTTTTGATTAGAGGACGTACATTTTTTTAAGATGTATTTTAGAACGCTTGCCAATTTTTAATACAGTCAAAAGTCATTAATTCGGACCTCAAAGCTATTATGCGTATAATATGTTTATGCTTGTGTGTTTAATGTATGAGCTAAGCTAAGCGGTATAAGCTAAGCTAAAATTATCTAAATCAGTTAATGTTGCAGATTGCGTTGTTCCTTAATCCTCGAATTCTATCCTACTTATTATTTTTTTGCAGACTGTTAGAGCAATTTTATAAAAGTAAGCTTGAACTTTCGATTATGTCAAATAGAATTTCCAATATATATTTACTAATATGTAAAGGATCTACAAAGCAAAAGTATGTTTCGAAGTCCATTAAACAAAAAGTGGAATTGCTGGAAAAAAAAAAAAAAAGGCTAAAGGTTTGTTTCTCTAACCATTCCGAAAACTGTTTATCAATTTCACACTGCTCTGCGGTGGGGGAAGGGAAAAGCCGCGGCGCGCAATGAATTGGAAGTTGATCTGTCAGCACTATACTTATCTTCAGGGCAGATATTTTTATTTTATTTGGCTTATAATTCCTTACTAAACGTAGTATTTCATCTCGATGTACTCCATCTTTGATATGATTTAAATCAAATTCCTCGTCATTATAACTTGCTTCCGATAGTGAAGAGGTTATTGAAAACGAAAAAATTTCGATTGACAAATTAGTCGGTATTCTCGACACAGCAATTATAGGACTTGAACAGCGGAACTTTGTAACCGAAGAAGAAATTATGTCTGTTTATAGAATTAAAGAGAAAGTACTATCATATAAAACGAACTTAAACAACTTACATTGAAAGAAATGTTTAATAAAGTAAACAAATAAATATTAAGCTTTTTTTTTTTTTGTAAATTTTGATACCCTTCAGATCATAATTTTTCTTTATTTCATAAATTACGGTTTCATATTTTTAATTTTATAATTTCTGCATACCATCTTACCAGATTTAAACTGATGATCTATAATCCGGAATCGCCGAAGTCCCAACGAGTCCGGATTAACAATTTTTGACTGTAGTACTTGGAATGTGTGCTCTGCACTTAAGAGATTTTGGTGAAATGAAATACTGCACAGCCTGGGAATTAGCTGTTTGAGGGTCGATACTTGTAAACAACATATTGCTTATAGAATCAAAATTTCTCACATTAAATCTAAAACTGAATATTTACAAGAACTGATATATTATTTTGTTTGTTAGTTCTATAAATTGAAAAGAAACACTCTAGAACAGGGATGGGCAAACTACAGCCTGCCGGAATTTTCTATCCGGCCCGCGGATAGAATTTTAATTTGCGGGTCCGAAGGAACTTAAAAGAAGTACATATTATATATCCATCTCTTTTTCTACTTTGTTTAAATTTTTTTTTTCTTTTCTTTTTTTTTTTTTTTTTTTTTTTTTCCCCCAAATTACAGATGATCTTTTTCTTTCTCTATTTTTGTTCTACAAACATAAATAGACGGAAACTGCAAGCACAGACAGCTTTCAATCAGTAAAGTGTTCAAAGCGAAAGTTCTTTGTTAGTTATAGTTGTAGATTGGTGCCAACAAGCGTTATCTCTTTCTCGAGCAGACATATGGGAATCCAATATAGGTGAATTAGACCTCTTAGAAAAAACTTAATCTTAACTTTATTATCTTAACTTAATAAAACGTAATATGTTTGCTGGGCATTTAGCTAAGAAAGACTTGTCTCATTTCCTGAGGTTAAATTCAGTACCCTCAGTAAATGAAGAGAAGCTTAAGAATTATGAATATGGCTTGAAAAAACTGCATTTTGAGTTCGAACGCAGATTTCAGTGCCATTCAAACAGAACTGGATATTTTTACCATGGCTTTTAACGTAAATTGTGAAGCAGAGAGGTCATATTTGCAGCTTGAATTAACTGATTTGCAATCTAAAAATCATCTCAAGCAGTTGTTTCTAAATATGTCAAAGTTCAAGTTTTACAAATCATTATCGAAAGTAAGTTTCCCAAATTTAATATCTCACGCCCAGAAAAACAGTGCTATGTTTGCTTCATCTTATATATGCAAACAAGTGTTTTCAACTATAAACCTTAAAAAGAATTATTTCAGAAGTAGGCTGGCAAATCAGCATTTAGCTTAGAATCAGAACATGTCACTTCGAACCTCAATATAAGGAACTTTTAAAAATGAAATCACAATTTCATTCATCTCATTAACATATTGAAATTGTAATACTTGTATAATTTTTTTTTTTTTTAAATTTGAGATAACTTATCTTGGCTCACCAAACTTTTTTCTTTCGATTTTTGGCCCACGACCGGAAAAGTTCGCCCATCCCTGCTCTAAAACAAAAAAATGCAACAAACACAAATAAAAATTGTGTTCTTGTTCACAATAAAAGTTGTGTTCTTGTCACTTGCTTGACAGTGACATCAAAACAAGCCCATAAAATTCATCATGGCAAGAAGAACAAAATTGTGCCTCTCGTTGGCAAAGCCTTGAGCGGCATACAGGTGACAGTACAAATTTGCTCATTTCCACCCCCGATTTCGAAGGAGAGCACAATGGGAGATGGGTCTCTACTACCATCCTCTCGAGAGTATTTTCAGCTAAATGCATACATAGTGTGCCCCCATGCTGCACAGACACTACACATTTACAAACATCCATGCTTTTTCTGGGATTTGAACCCGGCCCTTTAGTATCACAAAAGGCTTTCCTAACCACTACACCACCTGGGTGGCCAAATAATACTTAATAACTGAAAATAGAAATTCCATAAAAATATGACATATTTATACAAATTAAATAGGCAAAGTTTCATAATAATGATTCTGCCTTTCAAGCAGAAATTAATTACCATTCAGAAACATTAAAAACAGAATGAAACTTATTCCTTTAGACTTAAACAGGAAACAAAATGGAACAGAAAATTATCACCATGGGGGAAAAAAGTAAACAAATAAAACAAAATTCTCATTAAATAAAACACAATGAAACTGAGCTTACAGATTTGCTTTAAAAGCGTGGATGAGTCGATTGGCGAGAGTATTTTCTTGATGACTAAAATATACCGCTTGTGCCCAAGAAGTTCGTTGCTCTTGGTATTTCATTTCTGTACGAGGATTCCTCATCATATTCTCAACAACAGGAGGTATAATAATATTGGATGTAGTAGTTGTAGGCATGTCTCTTTTATCAAACAGAAAGACTATAAATTCTTCTTCTTCCTAAAATAAATAAATAAATAAATTTTAAATAAAGTATATTAAAAAAAATTTAAGCAGCTTAACCTTTTGGGTCCTAATGGGCACATACGTCCCAGTGATCAGTTTTCATTCCTATTGGGTACATAAAACCCACTATTAAATGAATGTTCACGGAAAGGAATTAGGAGATGACTAAAGAAATCTTATTTGCAATTAGTTGCATTTGTAAAAAAACGTCTATCAACTGTATTGTAAGAATAAATATTCGGTACATTTCATTTAACTTTATTATTTATTCACATGTAATGTGAGGTTATTATCACAATATCCTAGAAGGCTGAGACAAATAGTTCCAGTTGATAATATGACTGGGACATATTGTCCCAGGAGATTTTAAGGAAACGGGAAAAGTTAAAAACTTTACACTCATAATAAACTCATATAAACTTAACCATTAACTGATTACACTCATATAAACTTCTTTTAGTATGCCAACATTAAATTAAACTACTTTTCATAGTCAAATTTTAATCACGCAAAAGGCGGTCGAAAGGGTTAAAATTTCTAGAGTATTTCAAGTAAGTAACATTGTTAAAAACTGATTTTAACAAAAGTTTGCACATAAATTAACATACAGCCTCTAGCTGATAAATAACAAGATGTCAATTTTACTTATAATATCAGTGAGATTATGCATACTCTATCTGCACATTTATGGGAATGAGCAGGAATATAGTACGAAGTCTGAAATTCGGACTCGTTGGGACTTCGGCGATTCCGGATATTAGACCATCAACTTAAATCTGGTAGTAAGATGGCATGCAGAAATTATACAATCAAAAATATTAAATTGTAATTTATGAAATAAAGAACAATTATGATTTAAAGGGTATCAAAATTTACAAAAAAAAAAAAAAAAAAAAAAAAAAAGCTTAATATTATTTGTTTACTTTATTAAACATTTCTTTCAATGTAAGTTATTTAAGTTGCTTTGTTTTATGTGCTAATACTTTCTCTTTAATTCTATATAAAAGACATAATTTCTTGTTCCAGTTACAAAATTCCGCTGTTCAAGTCCGTAATTGCCTTATCGAGATCTAGGTCAAAATTTTTTTTGTTTTTAATAACTTTTCACTTCTATTAAAATAGTGGTATTTACCTAGACATACTAGAACCATTTTGCCGTCTGTTAAATTATTGATGACTGGGCATTATCATTGCAAAACGAAAAACTTCTGTTATATCTCTTCATTTCCTTATTTAATTGCGATATCCGAAAACCTTCAGATTCGTGGCTATCATCTTCATCATCCTCACCATGAAATATGGTAGCCGGCCATAAATTATGCCAAGCACTTTAACGTATCTGAAGACACATCCTTCCACAATATTGCGATGCTCCACACAGCAGATTTTATGCTAAAATGTTTAAAAAATTCTTGAATAGTCTTGCCATTGTTCAAGCAATTTGACATGGATTTTAAAAATGCTACTTTATATTTGCATTTCAGCATGGACACTTTTCTGATATCCATAGACTGTACGATAGACATACAATTTGGAGGCAAGAATAATATGGATACATTATCTTTCACTAAAACTTTAAGTGAAGTATGAACCGAACAGTTGTCTACAATGAGGACTACTTTTGAGTCATCGGGTAAACCAACCAAATTCAAATGTTGACGATCCTCGGGTACAAAATGATTTTCAAACCAATCATTCATTAATGCTTGTGTCATCCATGCTCTTTTATTTGCAGGATATACAACGGGGAAAATCATTACTCCCTTAAATGCTCGAGCGTGCATGTTCTCCGATTATATGAAAAGTTTGAATTATAAAAAACTTCTCATCCCTTAATTTTGCCACTTGGTGCTTCCCCAGATTCCAAAAATTTTGTCTTCCCTAAATTCTGCCATCAGGTGGGTGCCAACATATTCTGCAACCTCTTCTGGGTTTATGGTGAATAACATAGCATTTATTCCTAATTAAAATAGCACTAAATGTAATTTTTGGGCTATGAGTTTCATTAACAAAATATATTTTTAGCATATGAAAAGAAATTTTTGTTGAATTTTTCCTCGTCAACATTTCTCAGAGCATTTAAAATCTATCACCAAGCGTAATATTAGCATAAAAGGTTGCCAAAAAAAGTTTAGACATCACTGCATGAGTTATTACTGAGGCTGTCATGTATTGATAAACATGCGGTGATGAAAGCAAAATATAATTAATAATGACTCGCCAGGTCGGCTTCAGGGATATAAAATAGGTGAATGTTTCGGTTTGAGATGTATGTCAAGTAGACACTCAGCTACGGAGCCAAATTATTAATCTCACAAATTTATGGTTACATGATTGTTTTTCCATAACAAGGTATTTTATTTAGTGCCTAAGTAAAGAATAGGAATTGTTAAGTGAAGATCTCCACGTTTTATTATGGAAGAAAAAATCAAATACACATGTGTAAAGCATCCAAAAAAAAAGCTTGTGGCTTTGAGGTCTGGATTTTAGATTATTCCAGATAACAGACGTCTGGATTTCAGACTTTGTACTGTATATATATATGTAGCAATAAAAAATAACACACACAGACATAAAAAGTGAAATTATCATTATTTGCTTAATCATTTTATGGATGAAAACAAAAACTAATTTATGTCCAATAAGGTAAACAAAGCACACATTACATTATAAATAAGTTGTATCAAATATAGAGAGACATTCTATGTATGTGAGTATCAAATTTATGCAGAATGAATTAAAATTATGAAGTTCTGCACCTTTATTTTTCATCAATAAAAATTTCTTCAGCAATATAATTTGTTTTAAACAGATTGCACAACTTAAACCTTTGGTAATTTAAAATGCACTCTATTTATCTACATACATAACAAAATTTGACATCACTTTCAGATTTCAGAGACTATAGTTATTTGTCTATGCATTATCAACATTTTGGAAAATGTCTGCTAATTATTACTATACTACGCCACACGGATTTCACACATAAGGAACATCCATCACCTGTTAATAAATCCAGTTAATGCTCAAAAGTAAATTATCATAATTTAAATAGCTAACAAAGTTTATTCAAATGGTATAAAGTCAAAAGTCGTTAATCCGGACTCGTCGGGACTTCGGCGATTCCGGATTATATATCATCAGTTTAAATCTGGTAAGATGGCATGCAGAAATTACAAAATTAAAAATATGAAACCATAATTTATGAAATAAAGAAACATTATGATCTAAAGGGTATCAAAATTTACAAAAAGAAAAAGCTTAATATTTATTTGTTTACTTTATTAAACATTTCTTTCAATGTAAGTTGCTTCGTTTCATGTGATAATACTTTCAAAGTTTAGTTACAAAGTTCCGCTGTTCAAGTCCTACAGTTGCTGTGTTGAGAATACCGACTAATTTGTCAATCGAAATGTTTTCGTTTTCAATAACCTCTGGGTAACTTTCTTCACTATCGGAAGCGAATTATAATGACAAGGAACTTGATTTAAATCAAAGACGGAGTATATCGAGATGAAATACTACACTTAGTAAAGAATTATAAGCCAAATAAAATAAAAACATCTGCCCTGAAGATAAGGATAGTGCTGACAGATCAACTTCCAATCCGCCGCGTGAAATTGATAAACAGATTTCGGATTTCAACACATACTTTTCGCTTTGTAGATACAAATTACATATTAGTAAATATATATCAGAAATTCTATTGACATAATCGAAAGTTCAAGCTTACTTTTATGAAATTGCTCTAACAGTTTGCAAAAAATAATAAGCCGGATCCAATTTGAAGATTAAGGAACAACGCAATCTGCAACATTAACTGAATTAGATATTTTAGCTTAGCTTATACTGTCCGTTATACATTAAATGCGCATGTGTAAATGTATTATGCGCATGCGCACACGCATATTCCGCAGCTCGTTAAACGGTCTTATGCGCATGCGTCTACGCGACGCAGAAAGTTTGTGGCTCTGAGGTCCGGATTATAGATCTTTCCGGAGCTTTTGAGTGTCCGAATTAACGACTTTTGACTGTAGTTAGTGAAGTGATGAGGAACAAAATTTTGTGATGGCAAAATATTTAGAATTTAGGAGACACTGGGCAGCAGAATTTATGACCCATAGAGATCACACCAGGTAACAAAATTGGCAAAAAGTGCAAGATGATATGTACGGTGCTATGACACATATAAGATACTTTTAAAAAATTTCTATTAAAAATGATCTTGGGGAAGAGCCAGACATGTGATGGTGTTAAATCTGGTGAATAGGGAGGCTGGTGGAGAACTGGGATGTTCTTTTCTGTAAGCCATGTCTGCATAACAATTGATGTGTGGGAGGGAGCATTGTTGTGATGCAGTTACCATCATCCTTGCCATTTGGCAGAATGTTTTCTTTAGATAGCCTACCTCAGTCTTTTCAAAATTTGCATGTAAAAAGGGCACTTAACAGTTTGTCCAGCTGGTACAAATCCATAGTGCACCACATTTTTGTTGTTGAAAAATGAATTGAGCATCACTTTTGTTTTTGATTTGACGTCTTTGTTTCGGGTTTTAAGTGTCTTCTCACCAGTAACAACTGTCTCAAGAAACACCAGCTCCTTGTGCTTTTTGCAAAATATTCAGCCACCGTCAACTGCAGAGTTTCCCTTTGATTTGGGTTCAGCAGCCGTGGAACAAACTTTGCGATCTTCAAATCATCTGACAGAATTGCATGAATGGGTAATGAGAGATGCTCACTTCCTGTACCAATTCATCAATGGTCATTCTTCAGTCTGATTTGACTGTTTCACTTGCTTGACCATTCCTTTATTTCTGGAGGTTGAAGGTCTCCCTGCAGCTATTGTCTTCCAGAGTCCACCCCAAAATGTTTTCCTTAAAGAATCGCCACTATAAACTATCTCTGAAGCAGATTTCCCCAATCTGTACATGAACTTGACATTTATCCTTTGCTTGAATTTCAACATTGCAAAAACTGATCACCACACGTTCCTACCTTCAATTACACTACCTGTCATGAATTCCAGTAGTAAAATTATACAGTGGTAGGAAAATAAAAATATATATTTATAGTGATAAAGAGTTACAACGAAATTCTGGAAACTTTTTGACTGATTTTCATGTAATTTTTTTTTTTTTTTTTTTTTTTTTGAGAAGAGGAGACTGAAGCAAATGTAACTTTGGTAAAAAATTCTGTCAATTCAAGGAACAAGCAGGCAAGCAAAACTGATTAATTTTTGCAATATATCAAATATCTGCATAAGGATAACATTCCAAATACATTACTATTCACATCATTTACAAAAGGTGACTACATGTTTTTAAATATTCAAGCAAAATAATAAAAAAATTATAACAATGGATAAAATATAAAAATCATAACAATGGCAAAAACAAAAGATTTTAAAAAATGTGAATATTCTTTAGATTAAATTTATGTTTTGAAATAATTTATGTTTAGAATAAACTATTTCTAAGGAATTAAGTTATACTACAACAATGATGAATGAATAATATTATTCAAAACAAATTTCTGTAAAATTTAAAATGTTTCTGGGATACATTAATTACACATATTTACCAAATTAGATATGAACTGGTGAGCTCCTACATCCGGATTTGGCACGTGGCCTTTCGGAAGAAGTATTTCTTGGCTCGTTACTGGTACACCTGATTCTACTTCAAGCATTTTCTCGAAATCTTCTAGCGACAGAGTTTTGTCAATTTCAAAACTCAACATTCTGAATGTATCAACACAAAACACAAGTACAACCTACATCATGAAAAATCAATATAATCAGGAAATTTACTGGAATATAAACAGATATATAATTAGCAAATTAACCATTATTTAGAGCTAAAACAGAACTAAAATAAATATTATGTCTTAATGACTATGGAAAATTACATTTAATATGCTATAAATCTGAAAATTAAAAATGACAAAACCTTTTGTGAGAATTTTCCCGTGTCTCTTTTTGCTAGCAGCAAGCAGAGAAATGTTTCTGCTTATATTTCTCTCCTCAGTATAGTATTTCATTAGTGAGAAACAGAAATCGATTTTTTTTCAGTTGTGGTTATGAAATATATAAGCAATTCATTCAATGTCTATGGTTAATGACCTGCTAGCACGTGCGCATAATTTACATTTCATATATGCATGTAGTTGATGTTTCTTTATACAGTCAAAATTTTTTTCAGTTTTTCATTGCTAAATATTTTAAAACACTATTTTTAATCTTCTGTATTATGGAGATCAACAACTGGAATAAAAAGCATGGGATACTGCTTAACATTACCTGGAGTTATATTTAGCAAAATTTATATTTCTGCATCATGCAAGCTGTTCAATGCAACATTAGCAGCAACTGCCAAAATGAAGCTAGTAGATAATTCTTGTTTAAATTTGAGTTGCATATTTAAATAAATAGCTTCTGTATCTATATACTGACTGAAGGATTGCACCTTTGTGTTAGCAATGGTCACTTTCTCACTATCATTTCTTGTCAAGGCTATTCTTAACATAAAAATACCCAAAATACTTTTATAACTAGATTTTTTGCCTTTCACATTTCTTATATGAAGATTAATAAAATACTTAAAAATACAACTACACATATTAAGAAAAATATGCATAAAGCAACCTAAAACATTTTTTCTACTATTCTGGTATGCAATAGTATTTTAAAGATATTAAAAAAAATAGCATTTCACAAGAAACAATGTCAGCAAAAATATTTTAGATCATAACTGCCACCTGTGTTCTACATTAACTGGTCTATAATATTTTTAGAAAATAAAACTATAACAGTTATAAAACATATAACAGTTATAAAACTATAACAGTTAATAAAATTATACATACTTTTTTATCAAGAGCCTTCTCTAAAATACTAAATGCAGTGGAGTTTTTAAATCTGCCTCTTTTCTTAGGATCCCATTCTAACATAATCTGCAGCCAAGATTCAATATCTTTCTTAAAAACACTAAAGAAAAAAAAATTTAAAAAAAATTAATAACTATTTCATTCAACATTAATAAAATAACCTTCATAACCTAAAAGATTTTTAGCTAAATGGTGTTTTTATAACTTTACACATACATTGTGGATAAAAAAACAAACAAACAAAACAAAAAAAAAAAAAAAAAAAAAAGAAGTGCATTATACACATACTGTATATCAAGTTTTAGCAATTTTTAATAGTATAAAAATATTTAGTCTGATTGTATACTTGAACTGACTGCATATTCTGTAAATCTGTATGAAAAACTAAAGTTAAAATATGACAAGGGACAATACAGCAAAAAATCATATTATACATGAAACAATTTTACTAAAAATTGTATTATAATTTTATTATATAGAGAATAAATTTCAGTTTCTAAGAATTAATCAGATCTAAATTGATATGTAATTGAAAATATTATTATAATTCCTGTGGTAAATCTGTAAAAAGTAGTAAGTATAATTTCAAAATTAAACTCATAAAGGTTTAAAAAAACTTTTTGTTTTTACTCACAAAAGAATAAATAATAGAACTTGTGTAACAGAAATAAAAAAACTCTCAAGAATTAAAAATGCTAAATGTGTTAAGAAATACAAAGTTTTAAGGTACTTTTAGTTATACTAACCTCATATGTACTGTACCTAAACCAGCAATAATATACTAGGTTGTTTGCATACTTTTTAAATGTTTATGCTCATTATATATACAAAAATATTTTACCTAAAATTTTTATATTTTAAATGTTCGATTTAATAACTCTTATTCTTCACCAACTTTCAAAAATGTAATTTATAAGACAATAAAGCATTTTTTACTGTCAAAAGAGGTATTTTATCCCATTACTCTTAAACAGCTTTCCAAATTTTAAGGAGAGTTGTAGATCGATGTTGGACAATTCGCTTTTTAAAAGTACAAAAGCACAAATATCTGTGGATGATACAACAGGAGATTTAGTAGGGCTATAAGCGACTGATAAGCATTTTTTGTTCCATTTTTCCAGGAAATAAACAGTGGATTTTGTTGTGCGGCTGCTTGATTTCTCTTGATACAGTTCAACTGATTGATTGCACTTGTAGGTAAAAAGAAGGTATTTTGTATTTGAAAAGTGGGCATATTTTTATTTATATATAAATTAGGTAAATTGGATACGAAATATGTTCCTGATAATATGTGCAGTTGACCTTAACATTTTATGCACTCTTTCATTTTTATTTATCAATATATAAAAAATCAGCACCAATCAAAAATCTCTTTGAAAGGCTTTTAGAATTTTTTGAACCATGTTCTAAGATTATTTTTCTTCTTCTCTTTGATGATAATAAATGAATCTCTTTTATTGCAGTCATTTAAATGCACTCAAAATTTATCTACTGTGACAATATTTTTCCATTTTTGCCCACATAATTTTTTCTCATAGAGAATTCTGCAGCCCATTTTGCTTTCGATGATACGTCATGGAGAAAGACAATGCACATTATGTTTTTTTTTTTGTCTTTTTAACCACTTGCACTACGACTAAACTTCACAGTTGCGGTGCCGTGAGCTACAATATAACAAGCAGTAAAGTGTCTCATTTACGCCGCTCCGCGTCTGCGAGTGCAATCCAGAGCTGCAACTCGAGAAATAAACAATCTCGTTGTTAGCCGACGTGTGCACCATGTTATTTCATTTCTGCGATAAATGCCTATCAACGTGGTGTTCACGTCGCTCGCGGTTTGAGACAAAAGCATCTCAATGTGCATGGCACGTCTTTTTAGCGCAAGTGGTTAAGATTCAAATCAGCATTAGTCATTTGTTTACAATTAACACCGAGCATTTTAATAATTATGCAATTGTCCTTTGACTTCCCAGATTTTCTTTTAACACTAAATTCTTACCTTTGCAGCATTTGAAACATTCTGTTTTTTCCTTTGATATGTATTTTGAACAATTTTTCTCGTGGAACCAAACTCTGATTCTTTTCCTTTCTTATTGACAATATTATCTATCGTTGCTTTAGATACCGAAAAATCACAGCTTTCACAGCATTTTTAAAAATAACTAAATACGAATAATTTACATCAGAAAGAGAACAAACATAGCCTTTAATCCATTGCTTCTTTAATGCCATTTTTGCATGAAAGCAAAATTATCAAGTAGCAGAAAATAATTTACTCTTTTAAAAATATACTCGCATTTAAAATTTTTTTTCCTTAGCATGAGGGGTTTTTTTTAAAATTTTTTTTTATAATAAAGCAAAATCATCTAAAAAATGTGTGAGCAGCCTTTGTATCTACAAATATCCGACTGTTATGACACTATTCTTAAAAAGCAAATTATTTTAAGAACACTAATGTAAATGAAGTAACCAATTAACAGCCCATTTAAGTCTTCCATGATCAGACTTTTTTTGGGGGAGGATGCAGTGTTTAAATGATAATAGATGTGATCTTATGTGCCCTGATAAGTTAATAAAAATGTTCATAATATGAAACAATAATGTAGTTTGATGGTGTTATAAGAAATGAATGAAATGAATCTAAGATTTTGATTTTTTTGGCTATGGCATAATGCTCTTCATCTACATATTGTTCTTTACGAAGAAGTTTGCAGCAGATCAGCAAACACTGATGCCATATTATTACTTTCAGTATCTATGATGCATCATGGAATTAGTATGACTTAAGATATTGAATGTTAGTTTGTCTCATACATCAATAATATACGGCTACAAAATGTTTAATCTCACTACATATACCACATATATATATATATTGTGAAGGTAAATCACAAGAAAAAATTTAATACTGAATTTAACTGGAAAGAGTAAGGCATAAAATTAAACATGCAAATTTTTTTTTTCATTTTTAATAAAAATGCTGAAAAATAAAATCATGCTTTAAATATGAAATGTTTTTTAAATTATATTTCTGACATACAAAACACATTTTATTTATAATGACTAATTTAGCAGTTTATTATAAAACAAATAAACATTTTTGAAACTATGATAAATAAGATATACCATAAAAACTGTCTATGCATAATATAATTTCAGAAAGCATAAGTTATACACATAGTGATACACAAATTAAAATACAAGACAGTTTTCCCATTAAAATACTATATTTTTAAAATTGCATATTTAAATTTTCTCTTACCTACAAATATGATGAAAAGGAGACACTTCATTAGAGAATACAATATTTTTATCATCATCCAAAAATGCACGAATCTGGTTGGAGCTCTTCTGTTTTATGATTGGAATCCTATGTAAACAAAAGCAAAAATGCATTGAATAAAGTAATAAAAAATGTCAATAGAATTCTTCCCTCTCCCAGAATATGGAAAATGTCAAAAAATAAAATAACAACAGTATTTCTTCTTTAGTACAATGATAAGAGATGACAATAAGCAGAGCTGTGCTGAGGGCAAGAAGACTGCAAAATGAAAGGGCTAATATCAAAATAAGCAAAATTTTAATATAAAACTAACAAAAAAAAAATTGTTAGGGGGAGGCACAGTTGCAAGATTTGCCTCAGATATTGCAATGGTTGGTACATCTGTGTTAAAAGGATGTTGAAAGAGATCAAAGATGTATAACTGCTTGCTTGATTGTCCCGAGTTATTTCGCATTTGTATATATTGCAGTTAATTATTATCTCGAGAAAACTCGGGCAAAGCAGAATTCGTCAGTAAAATTTGTTTTATCACAATTTTACTCAACCTGGAGGAAATGAAAGGAAATAATCAGCTTTGATTGGCAGTTTGCCAAGTTTTGCTGGTTTCCTGGTTCTTTTGGAGGGACTGGTCACATGTTTGCCCTATTGTATAGTATACGTCGGCTTGTGGATTAGTAATATATAAAGAAGGATAATTGCATTGAAAAAAGTAAAAGAATGGTGATGATTTTTCAGATAGTGATTATAACCTCAAGGCATTTTCCAGATGTTATTCCTGTTAATGAAAAAATATCAAATCCAACGAGACAGTGTACTCTGTGCTGCCGTATGAGATTCCAGAGGTTCCAGTAAGAAGGAGACAGATACCAGTGTACAGAATTCAGGATCAGTTTGTCTGTTCCTTGTTCAAAACTCATACAAGACTAATTTACGTTTCTTCATTTGCCTGAGATAACTCGGGATAGTAAACTAATATTAAAACTAAATGCTTTTACACCTGTCAAAAATTAAAAATTACTTAAAACATACATATTTCGTTTCCTTGCATTTAATAATAAAATAAAAAAGTGATGATATTTTTGCAATTTTTTTCAAACAAATTTGTAAGGGAAGCGGTTAATATATCACTTAAAATATGGCATATTTGAGGATGTTAGAAGAAATAGCAATAAATCAACTTTAATGGAAGCCTTATAATGGCCTCTAAAATGGTAAACCTCATTTTTCTGGATCTTGCATATCTTGTCTTTTACACATTAGCTTCTAAAACATACTACATATAAAATTTTTATGCAGGATAAAATATCCTTATTTCGTATATTTAATAAACAAAAAATTAAAAACACACAATAATGATGTTGTGTGCATACGAGTTCATAATAGATTGAATGCAAACAGGTCCAACTGATAGGTTAATAAAATTTATTTTTATCAAACGAAACACTTCAAAGTTCTGGAATTTTCTATAGAAATACTCGTACAGGTGTCCACAGTACCACAAAGTACAATCAGTAGTTACATTTCAAATTACTAAGAATGCTAAACACAATACAATGTAAATCTAAAGGAAAACCTAAACCAGAGATATCTCAATTAACGCTGAACTAACAACTCGCAACAACAATAACTGACAGCAGATGCTCTCTCCAGTTTTATATAGTTTTCAACCAGCCGCCAAGACATTTCTTGTACTTTCTGCTTCTCAAAATTACTGGAAAGCAATATGAGGGCCGAACTACGGTTGCAGCTAATATAGTGATCAATTACAATACCTATTGGTACTTTTCCCGGCGCAAGCGATAAATCACCAGTAATGCTACAACCGATGCCAAACGAAATATGCTCGCTGGTAACCTTTAACATTTACATTTGTAAAACAAGTCGCAGCCATTTCTTATCAGATTGATTGTTTCTTTCAATACTGGCATATAATTACATAGAATTTTTCCAGATAGTTCAATTTTATATCCTAAGGCCATTCGCAGGCGCTAATTAAGTCAATTAGGATGCAATCACACCGCTCACCCGATGGCGAAAATATAGATAAGACAAGGGTTAAATTCATCTATTCTAATGAGAATGCGCTAGCGAAGTAAAGCAATGAGGTTTTACATAATTTCTGATTAAGCTATTCGTACGAATTGAAATTGTATTCCAAATTAAGATTTAACTTGAAATTAATGTAGATAATTACTCAGAGAATTAGATTTTTGTAGCGTAGTTTACGTGAGATCACTTGAGGTCACGTGATATGAACCGACGAATCAGGATGTTGTACGATGAAAGCATAATAAATTCTTAAATTAATATCTTTTTACAAATTTACTGTCTTTAATTATTGGCTTTTTTACGAAATTTTAACCGACATTAAAATGTTTATGCCTTCAAAATAAAAAATTCTTAGATCTAACATTTGTTAACATTTTTTATGTGTATACCATGTGTTTTCCCCAATAAAGTTTTTTTGGTGAGATTTGCGCCGGTGAAACGGAAAAGTACCTACCTATTACAGTGATACAGCGACCAGACCAAAATGTCACCAAGTTTGGCAATTTATCACAAAACTGGAGACAAAATAAGTCACCAAATCTGCTGTCAGCTTGGCAATATCTAAACAAATTACCAAGATACCTATTTACTCAATGTTAAATGCACTTGCCTTTGTATTTTTACTTTTGCGGCACAACTTGTCTCTTTTAGATTTGCATTACATTATACAGAAAAATATAAAAATTTCACATATAAATGCACTAAAATCATCTATGTACAAAATTCAGAACAATTAGTTGAATTTTACTTAGTAAGAAAAGGAATTTGGATGACTGAAGTCAGGATAGTTGGAGTTCTACTGAATTTCATTTTACAGCATTATAGATAGTTCAAAAAGAACAAATACAATTTAAAATAAGATAGTAGTAAATTATTTAATGTATTGTATGCTTCAAGAACTGATAAAAGTTCAACTTGCACAACAATCATTTAATTTTATTTCTATAGTACGCTACATCTTTTACAATATATATGTTAGGTTTCTCACAAATTGTTATTTACTAACACTGCACCAATAGCATCACATCTGTTCAATATCAGCAATGAGAGTTTACCAACAACCACACGAAAGCCTACAATGTGATCACTCTCAGTTTATATACACATATAAAGATAGTATTTCTAAATTAATATAAAAATGAAACAGTGCCTCAAAAATATTTCCTGCAAAATTAAAAATCCCTTCTCATAACATAACTCTAAACACTCTTAAGTGTTTCTCTTTCTTTTTAAATTCTTGAGTCTCTTTCCTCCTTCTTTTATGACTAGCATAGAAAATTAATTATTTTTATACAAGGCCTGATTATATTGATCTCTGATTGTCAAAATTATAAATGTATAAAACTTTGTAATTTTGACAATGGCAGATGATTTCTTGAGGAATGATAATTTTATATTTCTTGAATTATTTCTCACAATATTATAAACACAGAAAGTATAACAGCTTTATCAGTTGCACTACTGACCAAAAAATCATTCTGAAAAATTAAAGAAATGCATGTTTCATAAATTGCAAAATACAAGCCACACTAACACTCATATGACAATGAAATAATATAGCCCAGTCTGAATTTATATAAGATTCCCAGGCGTGAAACAAACACAGGGTTCATACACATTTTGGCACAATGAAATTAAATATTTTTAAGTTCGGCACAATGAAATTAAATATTTTTAAGGCCTTCTAAGGGCCATTAATGAAAAATGTAAGGAATTATCAGCAAAGGGAATTGAATAAATGAAAGCAATTATCTATACCCAAACATCACATTTGTTAATAATTTGTTTGTTACTCTACGAATAAAATATATCTCTACGTAGGATGCATTATTATTAAATGTAATCTAATACTTAACTATAAAACACATTCGAGAATAAAGTCAGCCTTGTAAAACATATCAAGTAATTAGCATTAAATTAAAAAAAAGGCTCCAAATTTATATTATTTATATTTTACACTAATAATAGTCCCACATATTTTAAAGAAGATTAGTACCATTTCAAGTTTTACTAACAATTCATTTTATGTCGATTCTGTCTTTTATGTCTTGTTTCGTCGTGCACTCACTCAGTTCAGAGGTTCATGAAAATTTTATGTCAAGCAGTATAGGTGAGAAGTAAAATCATAAACTAGCATGATTCTTAACAGAAGTTTGGCTGTAGTCACCACTGCTACTTGCTAAGAAAGAGATGCCGATCAGAACACACATGAAAAGCTGACATTGGCAAGATTGGTTGAAAGCCAATTGCCCTTTGTCCATGTGACCCAGTTAGTGTTGTAGCTTCATGCAGAATTGCTGGAGTTATAATCCAGTTAATAAACAGTATTTAATATAAAGGTCCAGTAAGCCACTGAAACACTAGAGGTGGCAAATTCTTTATATTATTTTAAGCATCATTATAGCTGTAAGGAAAGGCAGTCAGTCAGCTATGTAGAGATAAGGGTGAGCAATTAGTTACAAATCCTTATATACATGGTTAAATAGCATGATTCATTTAGATTTACATGGTCACTATTAAACTTTTTTATTTCTAAAAAATAATCTGTTAAAAATGCTATTTAAATCATAATTTAAGAACATTTTACAGTTTAAAGGTTTGGTTTAGTTTATTTAATTATGGCATAGCACACTAGGGCTATCTGCCTAAGGGGAGGGATGCCTTCGTGGAGGACTTTCTAAGGAAAACTGGCTTGTATACACGTTACACATGGGGAACACCACGAAAACGCCCATGCAGCCAGCCCGTTCACGGGATTCAAACCTCGGACCGAACTACCAGTGTTCAGCGACTTTACCGCTCGACCGCTGGTGGGCCCCTTTTACAGTTTAAAACACTGCATGTATTTAGAATGTACAGAAGACGCTAATTTTATTTCTTTAATAATATGGGTATAGAGAATTATATTTAAATGATACAAGGTCAGGGCTGGTACTAGAGCTAGTATGGCAGCATTTTTAGTACAGTCAAAAGTCGTTAATCCGGACTCGTCGGGACTCCGGCGATTCCGGCTTATCGATTTTTTCGGATTATAGATCATCAGTTTAAATCTGGTAAGATGGCAGAAATTATAAAATTAAAAATATGAAACTGTAATTTAAAATACAAATAAAGAACAATTATGATCTAAAAAGTATCAAAATTTACAAAAAAAAAAAAAAAAAAAAGCTTAATATATTTGTTTACTTTATTAAACATTTCTTTCAACACGTGCATGTGTAAAACATACATTACGCATAGTCGAAATTAGAAAATTGCAACCAGAAAACTATTTGATTTGTATTCGTGTTATTTATAATGACGAGGAATTTGATTTAAATCATATCAAAGACGGAGTACATCGAAATGAAATACTACATTTAGTAAGGAATTATAAGCCAAATTGAATAAAAACATCTTCCCTAAAGATAAGGATAGTGCTGACAGATCAACTTCCAATTCATTGCGCGCTGTGTCGTTTCCCTCCCCCCGCAGAGCAGCATGAAATTGATAAACATATTTCGGAATAATTAGAGAAACGAAGGATATGCCTTTATCCATTTTTTGCAGCAATTCCACTTTTTGTTTAATGGACTTCGAAACATACTTTGAATTTCATATCAGTAAATATATATCGGAAATTCTATTTGACATAATCGAAAGTTCAAGCTTACTTTTATAAAATTGCTCTAAAAGTCTGCAAAAAATAATAAGCCGGACCCAATTCAAAGATTAAGGAACAACGCAATCTGCAACGTTAACTGAATTAGATAATATTAGCTTAGCTTATACCGTCCATTATACATTAAACGTGCATGCGCACACGCATATTTGCTGCCATAAAGGTCTTACGTGCACGCGTAAATGCCTATGCGCATGCGTCAACACGACGCATGTGCAGAAAGTTTGTAGCTTTGAGGTCCGGATTATGGGTGTCCGAATTAATGACTTTTGACTGTAGTTAGTGAAGCGATGAGGAACAAAATTTTGTGATGGCAAAATATTTAGAATTTAGGAGACACTGAGCAGCAGAATTTATGACCCATAGAGATCACACCAGGTGACAAAATTGGCAAAAAGTGCAAGATGATATGTACGGTGCAATGACACATATAACATAAATCTTTTAAAAAATTTCTTTCTACAGACACTTGTCCGTATGATAAGATTAGACTTGTTTTTGAAATTTCACATGCTTGTGTCTACAGAAAAGATGAGAAAATAAAGGAATGATAAATAAAATGATAAAATAAAGGAATAATAAATACTTTTAAAAAAGAAAGATTCTAGGATCAAAAGCAGTTCAAATAACTTTGTTTTCACTGTACTTCCAAAAATTTTCCATAAAATAAATTCATCACAAATTTCCTATAACATACATTCATTATGTGTTAATACCAGGAAAACATTTTTTATTTGGCCAAATTTTTCTGTAATTCATATAATAATTTGAAGGCAGGTCTATAAATCTGGCTATCAAGTCCTTTTAATCCTTTCAAGGTGCAAGGCCTAAAAATTACACTCGCAAACTCTGTAAGAGCAAAATACCAGAAGTATTTTAATAAAAGTTTTTGAAAATAAAGCTTTCAAGTGAATTTAGTGAAAACTATTACATGTTTGAATATACTGAAACAACTACTTAGGGCAAAAATTCTAATAAAAAAGTATAAATGAAGAAAAATAAAACTAATTTTAAAATAACTAAAGTAGCTTTTGCTAGGAAGTGCTTTCAAAATTGTGTTTCATAGTATTTATTATCTTATTTATTTTTCAGAATCAAAATACTTCTAAGCTGCCAAAATGGAAAGCAATGTCATTTTAAAATGAGACATATGAAAATAAAAATTTTTTTTGATAATAAAAATATGAAAATAAAAAATGCTCTGTTTTAATTATAATTTTAATATATTATTAATGCTTTAATGGTATTTATAAATTTTATTATGTTTAAAAGAACACTGAAAAATTTGCAAACATCTAGATAAAAAATTCTGTATACAAATTGAAATCGCTAAAATGTTGATAAATTGCCATATTTGGTACCACATAACAAAAGAAATCAAATCTCAAAAAGGAAAAGAATGTTTTTGATGTAATATTTCATGAACTCTTCATTCACAAAAAGGAAATAATTTTGAAATGTGTCAAATACACATTTGTCAATGAATCAAAAATCATTCCTCCAAAATGTTAATTCACACTCAAAATGGCAGCCGTAAAAAAACATAGAAAATGTAGAAAATGTCAGATTAGTAAAATTAAGGACTTTTTGCTGATTTGGGCCAAAATTAAAGACTTTAAAGACCCAAAACCTTTTCAAAAAAAAAAAAAAAACCTAAGGACTTTTAAATACTTCTAAGGACTGTATGAACCCAGATACAGCATGCACAATTTGCATTGCTATTTCATTGCTATACTGTGATTTAATACAAAAGCCTGTTTTATGTCATTGTTAACTTTAGGAATTGTACATATACCACATAGCATCAGTACATTTTCATTGCTCTATAATAATTTGAAGGCAGGTTTAAACAATGGAATTTTTTACTTTCATATAAATCAGAGTAAGCACTTAAGTGCATAATGCAGTGAGAACAGTTTACTTCACTACTAGTTTTGGTTAATGCCACTAAAGTCTTAGTGCATGTAATTTATCAATAAAACTTTACATTCATTATTCATTTTGCATTATACATAGTTAATGCTAGGCATTATTTTGGCTTAACATATCTACAGTGGATGTCAGAACACATTACCCATGAATAGAGGAGCTAATTTTACAGCTTCGTATAAAATACTAAAACTGAATAAAATTTTAACAATGTCGTAAAGAAAAGAAAGAGATAAATTGCAAAAAAGTTACTATGAAGATAAGTCGACATTTTAATTCCAGAGAAAAAAGAGCCAGATTTTTATACTGCATTTTTAGCTCTGAATACAATGTCAGAACTTGAAATTTTATCTTTTTAAAATAAGTGTTTTTAATAAGTGGTTAAAACTCAGCTTTAGTTAATAAATAATAAAAATTAGAAGAAAAATCAAGAAATATAGCATTAGAAAGCTGATAATGCGATTGAATCAGCAGTTAATTATTCTTTCTCTAGTTATAATAACCATAATTGAAACATTTGGAGAATTCATATAATTCTGTTATGACACTTAAGTATCAAAATGTTGCATGAAAGCCAAATTGCTGATGATAACTTACATGCGTTAAATACAGAAACAGAACATTAAATCATATATTAAATGATTATGCGTTTGTTATTTTCACAGACCAGTTCTGCCTATTGTATATTTCCTTTAAAATGCATTTTTTAGAAAAACAAAACTCACCATTCAGCTGGAGATTTGTCTGGTAAAAATGGTCGTAAGCCTGTAATTACTTCATGTGTCACAAGCCCTAAGCTCCAATAGTCAACAGTACAAGAATATTTTTGAGACATGAATAATTCAGGAGCCTGAAAGTGAAATACAAGCATTACATAGGATTAACATAGCACTACAATTATATTTTGAAACATAATCTGTAGTTGCACTAAAATGTTCTTTAACAGGTATAAGGTTTGTCATAATAAACTTTCTTTAATTTCCGAGTGGCTGCAGTTATAGTCAGAAAAGTGGTACCTAGGAATAGTAAAGTGGAAGTTTACTAGATGAGACTGCTTGCAGACCTGGTGGCAAACAATGGAGTTAGTGTTCCTATTTTGAAAATGGTAAGAGAAAAGAAAAAACAGAGAATCATAATCATAATCATAATAAACAGCATCATCAATTTAGCATGAAAAGGCACCTCATGGACATAAATGTTAAGAACAGAATGTTTTAAAGGAGCATTTGTTTGTAAACAATTTGTGATGAAATGATCTTTTTTTTTTTTTTTTTTTTTGTTAAAAAAAAATACTTTTCGTGTTCTGCCTATTGTATATTTCCTTCCGCAAAAGCTATGCCTCATGCATCCACACTGTATCTGCTAAGAATGTTGGCTGAGCCTCTGTCTGGTTGATGAAGAAGTTGCACCATGCAAAACATAACTCGGCATTCCTGTCCAGTAATTTCTGATGAGATGTTGGCCAGTATGGATGAGCTCCTAATTCGTTCAGGATTTTCCAAAAGAGACTTTTTTACAGGCCGGTTGTACTTTCCACCCTACTTTAGTTAATCTTATGGTCTCCATTAAGCATTTTACAACCCGTAAAATGGCTTTGTGTAAAGGATGTGGGCCTGCAGAAAAAAACTTCAATACAACCATGCTGCCAATACAGCCTTGCGCCCACATTCCTCGTAAAGTAGAACCATCTCACATTAATCATTTTTTTTAAACTGCTCCATAACAATGAGCTTTAACATACAATCAGGAGGAGATATGTCTTTTATAGCTGTCTCAGGTGATCAGGTGTGACTTTTCCTACTCTATGCATAATGCATGAATTTCCCACACTGAGTTATAATTGCGCTGGGTTGATGTGCTTTGTGACCCGATTGTGCATATCTGCATATTGTCTACTCTAAAGACAATCAGTATAAGGATGCACCTCGTGAAGTTTGATCCACAGTTCTCTCGACTATGAATTACTAGCGACACCACTTTGAAGTGATATGGGCTCATTTTTCGTCCGAAAGATAATTTTTAGCTTTTTCGTTCAAGTTTTGCGATGTCTCAGTTTTGGAAACCACGAAGAAACAAACATGCATTTTTAGTGTTTATCATTCATAATCACAAGGTGTCTTTTCGTATTAAATTCATGATGCAGTACAACTTTGCAATTCACTTTTTCCTCCTATCCCATATCGTTTGCAATATAGGAATGCAAACTCTGCCATTTTCCACCAGGTGGCGATATAAGCGGTCTCATCTAGTAGGGCACAGCCACTCTGCTACACATAAACACCACTTTTACTTTTACAAATATAGCTGCAGCTGTTCGGCACTTAAATGGGTGGTACCGGACTTAAGTATGTCTGGTACTGTATATAATTTTTCATTTGATTTTCAATACTTCAAAACATATACATTTTGTTACTAGAATGTGGAGTAGAATCCAATTATTAGGACCTAGTTTAAATAGCTATATTGAAGGGAGGATATGAGAGAATAAAAAATTAAATTAAATTAACATGAGATCGCTATTCAAATTTTTACTCAGTACTCCTACAACAACAGCACACTTACCAAATATTGAAGAGTTCCAACAAATGAAGTACAAAGACTTCCCTGGTCTAATTCCTTAGCATATCCAAGATCTATTAGTTTATATACTACCTAAAAAGAACCACAAATTTAACAATATAATGTTGCAAATAAGAATAAGAAACAGCAGAAGCAAACACTGAATTTTAATTTACGTCGGTGATGAGTAAACATCTTGAATAAGGATTTACCACAAAAATCAACCATTACAAATTTCTGACTGAGGCACTATCAAAGAAAATCTGACTTATAAACAATTAAACAGATATTTTTACTTGATTTCATATTTTTTTAACCATTAATTTACAGCAGAAAGAAATTTAGAAGTTATACAAAGTTTAAAATTTTAAAAAATGAAGCGTAAGAAATATTCCTTTTAATCAAATTAAAATGTACCTTTTCCTAAATCTTACTCTGTTCATGAACGGTGCATTTAATATCTATGAATATAGTAGAAAAGTGAAACCATATCGGGTAAGGATGCACTATTATTAACTTTGCATATGGACACCAAAAACTATTATTTGCTTGTATTGATTTTTTGCACGTAAAGGTATGAAATGTTTTGCATTTAATTTACTAAAGCATAATCAAAAAATATTTTTTAGTTTTTTGCTTTGTGTGATTTACATAAAAAGTTTAATTTTGCAAATCGAAACCAACTATTTGTCTGAAATTTATCTCATTCTCTAATTTATTTAACAAAAAATCTACATTGAAGTACATCTAGAAACAATAATTAAAGGGTAAAAAAAAACTAATCACCTTTTTGCAGTTGTATTATACTTTTAAATTTTTAGATAAAACATTTGTTACTTTATATGAGGAACTATTACAAATAATCAGGTAAAAATACAAAAATTATGAATAAAAGTTATAACAAAAAAACACAGAAAAAGTATTGTTTCTTTAACGTTTTCCATTCCCATATGAGAACTTCCAGCAGTATCATTACCTATGTACACTATAGCAGATATTTATTTCAAACAAAAAATTTATCATGACTAGGTATCGACTGAAATCTGTCTGTAACACTCAAACCAGATAAAAACTTTGAATGGAAAAGCTTTTATGTTTATAATAGCCTTTTGAGAATTGCATAAATTACTAATTAATCTTATACAGCTAGCATAAGGAACATTTGATGAAAAAATTCAAGATATATTCTTTGTACATTTTACAAGTGAAAAAGATTAATGTTTATGGCACAAAAAATCACAACTTACAGTTCCATTAATATCTTGAATCACAATATTTTCCGGCTTGAGATCTCTGTGAATGATGCGCATGGAATGTAAATAATTTACAGCAGACGAAATATGTCTTAAAAGGAGACGCACATGTTTTTCCCTTAAACCACAACAATTTTCAGGTTTATTTAAGAGCTAGAATTAAAATTACATAATTTACAATTTATATCAATAACAAATTTTAAGTATAAACATAAATTTAAAATATAAGAAAATTTCAAAAGCTAAATAATATTTTAAATAATGAAATTATTTAAAATGACCAACTGATTTCAATGAGGGAGGTTACTCCTGAATTTTAGAAATCATCAAAATACTGTCATGTTCCCTCAGCTTGAGTTGGCATGTTTTGGATGGCTATGTTGCCATAGATCTAATGACTTAACTATCCACAGCTGATTAGATAGGTCATCCTATTTTATAAGACACATTCTCTCTCTCTTTTTTTTTTTTTTTTAATGATAAAGAAAGACGTATTCATGCTGCTTTTGCTCAAAAATCTACATGCTTTTAAAAACCACATTACTAATGCACTACTCTAAAGGTTATGCTAAAGTATGTCAAGAGTTTAACTGTAGTTTTCATATTATTTGTATAATTAAAGGAAATTACAAAAAATAATTAATTAACACTTAAAGAAATACTTAGTTAGTAATCCCAGACAGTTTCAGGTTCATTTCAGGTATTACTTATCACTTCATATTTGCAAATTTAAAAAATACGGCCACTGAAATTGGGACATTCATTTGGAATGACTCTACATAAAAATTTCAAAGAATGCATACTTTTCTAAGATCTCCACTGCTACAGTATTCCATTGCTAATAAAGGTAGCTCTGTGGCAGGAACATCAAGCTCTGGTGGCACAGATATAGCTTTGACTACATTTGGATGATCTAACCGAGACATCATATCTACCTCTAATTTCCACCTGCTGCGATGCTTTGGAGTCATCATCGCATCGTGCCCCCAACGGCACTGCTTCAAAGCTATAGTTTCATTAGTCTCCTGGTAAGAAAGGAAAAAATATTTCAGATAAATTTAACAAGAAGATGGATATAATTCCTTTACAACAGCTGACACAAAGTATTTTAAAACAAAAATATCAAACTGTTTCTTGAACTTTCCCCTCCATTTGACCTCCATGAATGATCCTTAATTGCTGTAATAGTACTACAGAGTACATAAAGTTGCTATCAAATGTTACAATAATTAATTAAAGTAATTCTTTTAGTACAGGAATAGGATCTCAAACAGTATTAATTTCATTTTTTACATTGAAAAATAAGTCTGAAATTTGTACGTTCCACATCTGGAATGATCTAAAATCTGGACCTCCAGATCACAAGCAATTCTCTCCCCCCCCCTCAGAAATTCTTTTTGCATGCTTTACATATGCACATTGCACACTTTTTCGTAATAAAACACATGAAGAGTTTAACATAAAATTCTTCTATATAGAAGAACCAATCTTTTATTAGGAAGAGTCTGTATGATCAAAATTTGGCTCTGCACGTGCCTTTTTGCTCAGCATACATCTCAGACTGAAACATCTTCAATTTTATGCTTAATGAATAATTTATATTCTTGATGAAAATCTAATTAATAATTTATATTCCCGATGAAAACCTGGCAAATATTTTTTTTATTACTTTTTGCTTTCATCACCAAATAACTATCAACATACAGCAGCTTGAGAAATGACTAATGCAGTGATGTTTAAACATTTATTTTTCAAATATTAGTAGTGAATACCAAAAAGCATGTTAATCTTTTACCCTGATATTACACTTGATGATTACAGATTTCAGCTAACTGTGTTGCGAAGTTTTGAGTGTGTTGACAAGGAGAAATGTTTTCAGAAGCTTCTTTGCATATTATAAAAATATAATTTATAAATGATATTCATTGGCCAAACGATTGCATTTAGTGCTGGTTGAATTAAAAACAACCGTTTTGTTAAATCAGGAATGGCGACACAGTTGGTGTGGCTGCACTCGGCAGCAAAATTTACGAGAAACAAAATTTTTAGAGTTTCGAGAAGCGCCAAGCAACAAAATTAAGAGATGGCAAAATTTTTAGAGTTTATTGAAGGCACAGACATGCAACATTTTTAGAATTTAGGACCTACAGACACTGCAATGGGTTACAAAATGCCCCTTAGTATACATAGGTCTGGGACTTTGTGCAGGAAAAAGGTATAAATATAATAAATAACTAATATAATTCAGGCTTAACTTTATCAGTGTATGAGAGAAGCAAAATAAAATCTTTAGTGTCTTTAGTCACCAACAGTGCATAGAGGACGCTAGTTAACCCCTTAACCTACGATTTAGATTCGAAGATGTTGGGCTGAAATTGTATACAAGCTAGCACAGCATTCGGGACATTTGCACAACTTGTGTAACACGCTAATCCGGGCAATCATAAACATGACGAATTATGCAATTTTTGAAGAAAGTATAGGCGAATAATTATTGATGATACATCCAATGACGATCAACTACCAGAGTCCTGGCTTTGGAAAGAAATAAAAAATAGTCCAAAAATTTGGGACTATACGATGACTCCTGGTATAAAAGAGAAAGCCTTATGTCAATTAAGAGGAAGTAGAGGAGAATTTGATATATTTAATCTAATATTTGATGACACATTTTGGAGCAATATTGTAACCGAAACGAATCAGTATACAGATCAAGTACGAGAAATTCCACATAGAACATCAGTGTAAAAAGTGTAAAGTTCCGTTAAATGTACCAGAATGCTTTGAAATATATCATACCGTTACAGAATACTAATTTTGTATTTTGGAGTTTTGTATGAATTAACATTTTGTAATACTTGCGTCTACCACAATTATTGCATCAGACTGTAATTGCGTATCAAATATTCCACGTAATATTCACTTCTGGCCTGATCACCGTACGCGGTCTATGCCCGTGAAAGTTAGGTTTGGCCTGACCATCGTACGCAGGCTATGTCCGTGAAAGTTAGGTTTGGCCTGATCGTACGCAGGCTATGTCCGTGAAAGTTAGGTTTGGCCTGACCTTCATATGCAGTCTATGCTCGTGAAAGCTAGGTTTGGCCTGACCATCCTATGCGGGCTATGTCCGTCATTGTAGATTAAGGGGTTAAGCCATGAATGATAATAGCCACAAATTTAAAGGTTTTTTAAGATATCAAGAACAAAAAGTGAGATTTTTCAAATAGTGGAATTTGTAAAGAATTGTAGAGAAGTGATAATAAATGAAGATGATATAACATTCATTGCAATGACAATACCCTAATCATCAATCAACGGACAGTTGGCAAAATCTCTAGTATGGTTCTAAATCCCAAAAACATTCTTACTGACAAAGTGGCAAAGAGTTCTTGATAACAAAAAAATTTGACTGTGACATAATTTGAACAAATGCTGCTAAGTTACCGTAATTTCCGGAAGAAACGCAGTGGCGTTTATGTGTTTAAAACTTAAATTTTCAGCGGGTGCGGCGTTTCTACCCATGCGGCGTTTAGGTGCACTAAAAATAAAATATTTCCTATGATGGTCATTGTACATAGTTTGGATGGCCTTGGCATTATGCATAGACTGGTGCTGTTCCCACACAAAAGACCATCCAGTTGATTTTTGCGAATGTTATTTTGTTTACATTCTTTCCCTTGAACGGACCTACATGCCTTATTCACCCTAAACGAGATCTCAGAACAATAACATTCTTCCCCCTTTCAAATCAGCATTCTCATCAGTTTGAACAGTCTCTCTCCTATGCCATTCCATGAATCTTGCAGGACCCATCCTCTTCCCACCCCTGGCTTTTCTGCAATTTTTTTCAAAGGCAGACACAACTCCACCTGCCTCACAATAACGAACTCTGACATATTTTCCCTTCAGCATGAATCGATTTTTCTTGGCAATCTGCCAGATACAGATCCCATCAGTTTGTTTACAAGTACGTGTTGGATAGTTTTTAAGTAAGAAGAGAGCGGAAAATTTTTGAAAATATATTTTCAACATTTCTTACCTTTAATTTATTTTGAGTTATGATTTCATTTCATGTATTTTTCTTAACTGATATGTCATATATTAGACATAGGTTGAGATTTTGCATCTATATGGCCCGCGACGATGTCACGCGTAATTTAATCTATGCGGCGTTTACTGTGCGGCGATTCTGTGCAATTTTAATTTTTTTCCCGCCATTTTTCTCGAGTGCGGCGTTTACGCTGATGCGGCCTTTCTTCCGGAAATTACGGTACATGGGCATACAAAGTCCTTGAGGGAAATACACTGAAATCTTGCATTGCTACAAGTGAACAGTATATCATAAGCTTAAAAGTTGCATTGCATAAATTATAAGATTATTTACATCAGTTTCATAGAAACATAAGCTGTGCCAGATATAATAGAAGCTTTTAACAGACTATATGCAAGTATCAAAATAATAATTTACTGAAATATTTACATACTATTTACAATATTATGGTTTAGACAATGTGAATAAAATATGCATCTGAGAAGAGATGAATATACTAATGATTTAAAAATATGGAAAAATAAGAAATACAATGATGATTAAATCCTAAAAATTTTGATTTCAAATAATCACCAAAGTGATAAACCACTATCAACCAATAAGAAAAGGAAAAATATGATGTGACCAGCATATGACTTCATGTGAATTCTATTTTTTAAATAGTAACAAGCTTTAAGTAAAGTATCATTTCTGACTGAGAGTTTGTAAATATATTTGTTTTCATAGAAAAGTCTGCAAAATGAAATTTTAGATTATACAGTACAAAATTCGAACTTCCAGAGCATCAGCTACAAAATAAAATAATACCCCCCCCAAAAAAAAACTCCCCTGCCCTTACAAACAAACATAAAGATAGCAGGTGTGCCAGATATGCAACTAAGATTTCAGCGTGTCGCTGTTGGCTAGAGAGTGACACCATGGCCAATGACTATATATATTGATTGATATTGGGCCAGGATCACACTTTTGGCTTTTAAGTGATTGTCGGCAAGGGGTGATTAACACTTTCCTATCTGACGTAAGTAATAACTGAAGCCCCAATGTTGTCATGTCTACATGTCATCTTACTAAATTGAAAGTGATAATCTAAAATCTGGACATTCCCCAAATACCAAATCGCCGAAGTCTTGTGATCCCAGATCTCAGACTTTGTATTGCATTTTTTAAAGTATAATTGACCACACATAAAATATTTTTTCTAAATTTATATGAATATAATCAAATATTTATTTATTTTTATTAAAATTTGGATTTTAAATGGACAGTTCAATAACACATAATTAATTGGTTTTTGATTAAAGGAAATTAAGTGTTTATTAAATTATTTAGAATAAATACTTTGAAATGAATGCTATACTTTAATTTTCTTCAGTGTTACTTCTACAGTGTTGGCAAATCTAAATTCATTCTCATTTGCATGCATATTCCCACAACATTTAGGTATCGGTAAACAATGCTTGTTAGTTTTCATAATTATAGCTGCATAGTGTTCCAGGATCAGCAAGAAGTAAAGCAATATGTGATTTCGAATCCGCTGTCTGTTCTTGTGCCTCCATCATCAACAGTGCAAGAAAATAACAACTGCATTTTTCGGTAGAATGCTCACATTACGAAAGTTTTGAATTTCTGCAAATGATATATGATAATAAATATCATTCTTTTCTGTGGCTTGATTTATGATTTTCTGTGGCTTGATTATGATTATTAATTTTCTGTGGCTGAAGTACCATATCTAGATGTAACAGAAATAGCCTTTATATGTGCTGCATTATTTTAGATTAATTTTTTATTACACTGATTCTATATTTTCCCATGAAAATTTATTAAGAGCTCCATGAAAAGTATGACTTCCGGTTTTTCATACATATACAGTCAAAATCTAATAAATTGGTCTCAATCATGATTGCATATGCTTCACATTTATATATATGAGTTTTAAATATCAAATTTGAGAAGTTTTGAACTATATAGCAA